GCGCGGATGAAGGAACCCAGGGTGCGGTGCCCTTCTATTTTGGGCTAACGAGACCACTGTAAAGGGACATAACCGAAGAATAGTAAAAGTGACGCTACCCAAATTTGATCTTGATCTGAGTTTTGTGGTAATAAGCATTGTGTATAAGTTTTATTACATTTGGTTGAGACAAACTAAAGTTAGAGAACAGAAAAGAAAAATTCAGCAACTTTTATGTTTATAAAGGGGCATAACTCAAGAATGGTAAAAGTGACGCCACCGAATTTCGTACTTAAACTGTATTATGTAGTAATAAGCATTGTGTATAAGTTTCATAACATTTAGTTGAGGCAAACTTAAGTTAGAGAACGGAAACAAAAAATTTGTACTTGATCTTAGTTTTGTGGTAATGAGTATTGTGTATAGGTTTTATAATGTTTGGTTGGGGCAAACTTAAGTTACAGAATGGAAACTAAAAATTTTGCAATTTTTCGATTTATAAAGGGGCATAACTCAATAATGGTTAAAGTGACACTACCCAAATTCAACTTGATCTGTTTATATCAGTGGAAGGCAAAATTAAACATTGCATTGTGTAAAGCATTGATTGTAGTTGATTCTACTATAATCATGGACAAAGGAAGATAACTCCAATTCTAAAAATTACTTGAATAATGACATTGATATTTTTAGAACAGAAATGAAAAATTTAGCAATTTTTCCAATCATAAAGGGCATAACTCTAGAACGGTTAAAGTGACACCACCAAAATTCAAACTTGATCTGTCTTTTGTGGTAATAAGCATTGTGTATAAGTTTGATAACATTTGGTTGAGGCAAACTTTAGTTAGAGAACGGAAACCAATTTTGGGATGTACGGACGTACGGGCAAGGGTAAAACTTAATGCCCCCTCTGCTTCGGCGGGGACATAAAAAAAACACTTGTATAGGTATTACCCATGACTGATTGTACAGAGTTCAAAGGTTTCAAATATATGTATGGAATGGAACACTCTTGAACAGTCAACAACCAAGACATCATGTATCAGGCCATAATCTTGCTGGCGAAATGACGATTTAAGTCGCCAAAGAATTTTGAAAATCGCTAAATCTCGCCGGCCGACTGACTTCATAGCGAAGTCAAATCGCTATCAAAATCGGTAAAAGGGAGACAACTTGTGATTGACAAGTCTCACAGGTAAAAAAAAATGGGATGACAAGGAAAATCGTGATTTTCGAAACGACCCAGGACTAATACTGTAAACGATCAAATTAAATAAATACAACGGCAACTTTGAACATCCTCGGATATAACTTTCAAAACTGTTCAAACGGAAAACTGACCGTCTGTTTAAGTTATCGTTTTACGATGATTTTCATCTGAGGATGTTGCGTAATCACTCAGCTGATTTGTTTTATTTTTATTACCTACAAAAGTCGATCAATTTTACTATTCGGTAGGTATAGGTAAAGGGTGGGAATTAACGGTAGATTTATTATATTCATTGAATAAAAATTGAAATATAAAAGGTAGAAAGACAGCTGATTGATAATGTGATTGCAAACGTACAACGCTCGACCAGATTGTGATCAGCAGTGGATTTTTTCTCATGACCACTTCTTTGATATGGATGATATTTTTAAAAAATGATAGAAATTAGCTCTTTATCCGATAATTAACTTGAGATTGAAAGATATTTTCATTTATAGACTTACAATCTTTAACGATAATCTCAATTTACTACAACTAACATAAATGTTCTGGACATTCAATAATGTTTTACAAAACAATGACAAGTGGTGATATAAATTAAATTCCCAGTCATGTGAAATTCATTATATTTTTCTGGAGTTTTAAAAATAAATTGAGGCAGATGCACATGAATTTAATGCATCATAATCATGATAATATTACTAGGCTACTCCCTCATGTCCCAATTAACAAATTTTATTTAGAACACCTTATGGTATCAATAAATAAATAACAACTATATATTGTCTAAACCTTTTTATTAAGAACTTTCTATATATACATTGTGTACAATAACATATGAAAAAACTGCAAGTACATCTTTTATTGAATATAAAACAATTTCCTTAGTGATAAGCTTGAAAACACGATGCAACCGAAACGGTAATGGAATCTCACTTCTCCAAGAAGTTGACCACTTCTCCCTTCTCTCTCATGGAAGGAGAAGTCACTTCTCCCTCTTCAAAATCCTAGATTAGGCCCTGATGTATCAAAATATCCTATGTAATTTCCTAATTTTTTATGTTCTCCCTTTACACATACACGTTTTATCTTCTTCTTCTTCTCTTATGGGGTATCCAGTTATCCATCAGATTTTTTATGATTACTAACTGCTACTAGCAAACTATCTTCCTAAACCAACTGTAAACAGCACTTTGTCAATGTTATTTTTAGTGTTTTCGAAAAAATTAGATTAAAGTCAGGAATCATAGAAGGTGTATTACATTGTATCTGCTGTTTCTTCCCCCTAGCGTCAAGTGAGGACTCTATATGTCAACATATATTTGTTCCGCCTAACAGAAGTTCTCCTGGAAACTTAGATATACAATGTAAACAATGCCATAACCTCTGTTCCTGTTGGAACAAATTTTCTGTACCCTTTATTCCGTTACTGTAATCCATGTTCCAGTGGAAATAATATTACAGAATATTTCTTCCACTTGGAACTTATGTTTATATGAAGAAACTTGTATTTCATGACATATATACTTGTGATAGGATTGCTTCCCTTGAATAGTAAATACTTAGTCAGTCGTACCCAGTTGAATTCATTAAGTACTTCTTGCGCTGTCTTGTTACATAGAGGAAGGAAAACAAACAAATGGTCCAACTACAGGTCTTACCAAAAGGAATGCAAGAAACAACTCAGGAAAGCAGAATATAAATATGTCAACCAAAAAATCTTTGAGGGCCTAAACAACAATGATACATTTTGGAAGTACATTAAATCAAAATGCCAAGACTCTGGAGGAATAGCACCATTAAAAAGGGGGCCTAACCTCATCAGCAATAGTAAAGGGAAAGCTGAACTTCTACTAGAACAATTCAAGTCAATCTTTACAATAACATCAGACACCAACTTACCAACAACAAGAATAAATGACAAAAAGAATATAACACCCATAACGATTGACCAAAAGGGACTTGAAAAACTACTAAAAAACACCAATCCAAACAAAGCCTCTGGACCTGACAACATTCCAAACCACATACTCAAATAATGTGCTGAACAACTAGCACCAATTCTGCAAATCATAATGCAATGCTCGCTTCACACAGGTGAACTACCAAAAGACTGGAGAGATGCAAATATATCAAGTATCTTCAAAAAAGGAGACAAACACCTCACAGAAAACTATAGACCAGTATCTTTAACATCTGTCACCAGCAAAATTCTAGAACACATCATATGTAGGCACATCCTAAAACATCTGGAAAAAAGCAAGATTCTAACCAACTAAAATCATGGATTCAGGTCAGGATACTCATGCGAAACACAACTCATCACTACCATCAAAGACTTCCTCCAAGAGCATGACAAGGGACATCAAATCGACATAGCAATATTAGACTTCTCCAAAGCCTTTGATACAGTACCACAGAACAAATTACTCCACAAACTAGACCAATATAGAATCAAAGGAAATACACACAAATGGCTATCAAACTTCCTGACCACCAGATCAATGTGCACCATTGTGGAAGGGGAAATATCCGTCAAAACAACAGTTGACTCTGGGGTACATCAGGGCACCGTCTTAGGACCAATCCTGTTTCTTTGCCACATAAATGACCTGCCAGACAGCGTAACATCATCAGTAAGACTTTCTGCAGACGATTGCCTATTATACAAAACAATTAAAACTGACCAAGACCATCACAAACTTCAATCAGATTTCAAACAACTAGAAATTGGGGCAGACAAATGGGGGATGCGATTCAACGCCAAAAAATGCTATGTCTTATCCATAAAAATACAGACAAATTCTACACGCTAAAAAAACACATCCTACAAGAAGTACAGTTGAATCCATACTTAGGACTCCAAATATCAAATGACCTGAAATACATGTAGAGCATCCACATAAACAACATCAGAAAGAAAGCCAACACCACCTTGGGCTCTCTTAGGAAGAACTTGAGAAACGTACCAGATTCATGCAGAAGAGCAGCATACACATCCCTAGTAAGATCTTCACTGGAATATAGCGCAACCATCTGGAACCCATATACAATGTATGAAAGGGGGTATTGACAAATTTGAACGTATACAAAACAGAGGCATACGGTTTATCAAGAAAAACTACAGAAGTCGAGAAACAGGGTCCATAACCAACATGAGACATCAGCTAGAAATTAAGACACTAGAGGAAAGAAGACACAGCCTCCGTCTGGTCCTGATATACAAGGTGGTTGAGGGTTTGGTGCCAGCTTTGCCAGCCAACAATTGTGTCACACCAGCAAAACCGAAAAGAACAATCAAAGCCAAAATATTTACAAATTGTGAAACAGACAATATATTCGAACGGCACATAATAAAAAACCTCAGAGGGCTTAAAGTACCAGACAGCAATAAGCCACAATATAAACATTCATTTTTCTTGGAAACAATCATAAACTTGAACCAACTGCCAGATAAATTGTGCATGCAGATTCTGTAGAGGCATTCAAGACCACTTTACAGGAACACCACCCATAACAATGGCACTCTTCTCCACCGTGTATAAAAGCCTAAATAGGATTCTACATGTATCAATACAGATACAGGTCCCAAAGACAGGCAAAGTACAATCCTTGTTCAGAACAACCAATGCTTACCCACATGCAACACCTGTCTCACAATGAACCCTAAAACAAGATTATGTTATGGCCTTGTCGAATATTTGTATGTTATATTTAAGAAGAAAATAATTGTGTGTTGTCTTATGCTATATGTACATTCAAATGAAAGTGAAACTTGATCTTCATTTTGTTTTTGTTGCCAACCTACCTCATATCTTTCAATGGAGAATAGTTGAATCAATTAATAAACCACATCTTTCACACTTCCATGGTTAACGTATCTACAATATTTTGTAACATTAACAATGTGTCATCTCAATATGATCGTTAAATCTTGTTATTTTCTGACTGTTCATTTGGCAAAATTATTGCAGTTGGCAGTTAAAAATATGGCGTCTGCTTGTAAATATTTTCGTACTTTATATATCTGTTTTGTGTATACAAATAGGTGTCAATTTCAAGTCATTTAAATCAAATAGATAAAAAAAAAGAAATATCGCCTTTCCCTTTTATTTTTGGATACGAAAATTTTAAAATGTTAGATTTACATCCTCATAACTTTGGCGGCAAAAATTGTAAACAAACCGAAATTCTACAAAAGCTGGAATTGACTGAAATTTGCCTGTAATAGATACATGATCGCAAATCAGGTACTTCCAGGTTGAGATCAGTGTACAAACTATTCATACAGAACAGTTTATTTTATACTTTTTCACTCTAACAATACTTTTGTTACATACTTTATTAAGGTTCATGTGGACCCTGTGCCTGTGGCTAAAATGGCTGCAATTTCACCTCAAAATTTACTCTGAGAACAGACAAACCTGTGTATATGGAATAGTTTTAAGGCATAGCATGCCCTTGATAAATAAAATTCAAACATATTTTGTGTTATAGAAAATTAAAAACTGAACAGGATTTTGCTGTGCACTTTTTTTCATTTCTCAAGAAGGTGGCAAAATAGACTAAGTTGTGAAAGAGGTTTGAGATCTTCCCCACAGGTAATAATTGAAGTGAACTGTATTGATTGACATGGACAATAGATACTTGACAATAATTGGTGATTTAAACTGTGTACCTGAGTGGACCATATCAAGTGAAACTCAACTGTTTGTTAATTTTATCATCTTCTGTAGGATCGAAAAAAAGTGCACTGCAAAATCCAGTTAAGTTTTAAATTTTCTAAATCATACAATGTATTTGAATTTTATTTATCTAGGGCATGCTATGCCATAAAACTTTTCTAGATGCACAGGTTTGTCTGTACTCAGAGTAAATTTTTAGGTGAAAACGCAGCCATTTAAGCCACATAAACCTTAATACTAAAAAATTTCCCATGGACTTATAAAATTTTCGTATGGCATGTACATTAATTAAATACTGGTTTATTGAATTCATTTAATTGATTTTCAGTTTTTATTTGGGAAAAAAATCTATTAAATACGAAATAATAAATATTAGAATATCTTCATTTATCAGTACAAAAAACATGAAAAAGAGAGAAAACACAATAGACAACGCAAGCAGGGGAAGGTCTAAAAACAGGACAGATAAAACATATTGTTAAAATTTAAGTTGTATTATAAAGAACAGGGTATATACTTACATTATTTGTAAAAATATTTAAAATAAAAAATTAATAAGATAAAAAAAATCTGCCAGGACAGATAAATTATAAGAAAAAAATGACTGAAATTGCCGAGAAAAATTTACTTATAATTGAAATAATTTCTCCAAAACAACTGTCTGGCATAATATTTTTGTACGATTATAATGTTTAGGGAATACTCATTCTAAAAATCTAGAATTTAATATTTTTTTCGATTTTTAAAGGTAAAAAAATCTGCCAGGACAGTAGCCTATTACGTTAGAAATTTTGTTGAAATCAGCTCAAAATCAAAATATAAAGTTAAATATCTTCTTCAAAATGAATGTCTGGTAAGTAAGAAATTTTGGTTCATTGGAAAGTTTAGAATATAAGCTTTATGAAAATATAAAATTATATGAACTTTTATTTTATTAACACAAAAAAAATCTGCCAGGACAGTAGCCTACTCCATTAAATTTCTGTTTAAATGGCTGAAATTAACAACGCAATTTCTAACTATAAATGAAATAGTTTCTGTATTGCGATTGTCTGGCATACTATTTTGTTACTGTTATAAAGTAACAGACCCAATTATCAAATAAAATAAAGAAATTGAACAATTTTCATTTTTAAAGTAAACAAAAATCTGCCAGGACAGTAGCCTATTAAGTTAGAAATTTTGTTGAAATCAGCTCAAAATCAAAATATAAAGTTAGATATCTTCTTCAAAATGAATGTCTGGTAAGCAAATTTTGGTTCATTTGAAAGTTTGAAATATAAGCTTTTAGAAAATATAAAAAAATATGGACTTTTATTTCATTACCACAAAAAAAATCTGCCAGGACGATAGCCTTTTGCGTCAGAAATTTTGTAGAAATTAGCTTAAAATCTGTGGATAAATTTGAATATTTTGCTCAAAATGCAAAAAGACCGATACGCAAAAAAAAAACAAAATTCAAAAATTCAAAAAAACTATTTTACATGGTTTTCTGGTGAAAAATTTTCATTTTAGCCTTAATATAATTAAAATACACAAAACATTGATTTTTGTGCCTAATGTTTACATATTTATTCACGGATTTGAAAAACATATTTTGACATTTTATTTGAAAATCATCGTTTTTATCGACTTACATTATGTACTATGCAGCAACGGATGGAGACCGTTTATGTTCAAGGTTGTATGAACAATATTCTTTAGTATAAATGTCAAAGATTTTTACATTCGAATTTAAGGAAATATTAACAAAAATTTGTGCCTTGTATTTAAACAGACATAGAATACAAACTCCCGCCATTATGGGACATAATCTTTAATGATATAATTTACCAAAAAGAAGTAAAAAAACAATAAATATTTTTTGTAAATGTAATTTTTAATCATCAGTATATCTTTCTATCTTTCTATGAGAAAACTTGCTATATTTTTTTATGAATGCAATAGAGTATATTTGATTTCAAAACATGAACAAGTCGATGTTTTTCAATATTTGAATTTGCCAAACAGAAGCTGAAATCATTCCAAGTGACCTTAAAAAACTTTGCACACAGCACCTAGGTGTCGTCCCTCCTCTGTATATAACTGTACAAAATTTGCATCTTGGAGCTGTTTGCATGTATTATTAAAATCTTGAAGGGATATAAACCTTTCACTGACAACAAATTGGACATCTTGCTCATTCATATCTACAATGTACACTAGTACTTAATAATCGTGATTTGTTATAATCGACCCCCTATGTCAAAAGTGCACATCATATTGGTCGATACATCTGGAAGTTTAATCTTGTAACTAAATTTATTTCGCATATTGTTACCAATTCAAATACCTTTTTGATAATTGCCTGCCTGAATATATTTTGTGGGTAACAATAAAAAATTATATTGTTACCTACAATTTCCGTACAAAATCAAGTCCCTGTCCTGATAGACTTTTCGGCAATTAGTCTCGTAAGTAACAGCAATTAATTCTTAGTTATTAATTCTGGCCATCCCCATTCTTTATTTCAATCTTTTTGCATAAAATACTAAAAACAATATATAATATTCAACGTATATTTGACTAGGTGCCGATTTAACCATGTTCCGAAGTGACTAGAATTCGTCAGATGCGGACTGATTTCACTGTGTTTTATTTTAATTTATACTCCGGCGATTATACAATAAGATACATAAATGCACACAAGTTTAAATCCATGTAAGAATACACTAAGCGAGCTTTCTTATCTTTGCTTTACTGTAAAGCCGGCTCAAGCTAAAAGTAGTCACTGATCGTTCTCTGCATGAATCAGTTTGACGAGCTGTCTAAAATATCCGTGTCAACATCAATCACGATTTGTATAGACTTTATCGCTTTGTTTCAAACGCTCAAATGATTTGAAACTGGTTTACAATTACTATTGTATTATTTACGCCTGGCGGACGACTCGTAACCAGTTAGTAGAAAAAAAGATGTACGACAGATCCAGTCTATGCGAATTTCGTGTATGTCATATTTTTGTCAATAAATTAATAGCCGGCACAAAACACGCAATAGGTGGTGGATTTTGCCGGTTGCTGGCTCTTATTGAGAACACTGAATTAGTATTCGAATGTTTGATGACATCATTTTCGAGGAATGACCTCTAACATCATTAAAAAAGAAAAAGAACTTGAAATTGATCTATACAAAAACGGAACTTTTCTAGCTGCTCTAGCTAAAAAATTATCGCTATTTATCCCCTGTTTCTGGACCTGTAAATATTTATGACATTGATGCATCAAGAGTTGCAAGTTCTCAAATAAGTGTCGCAGATCCCAAAAGAGTGATAAGGTCTATTACTACTATGCTGTGATCAGATTATTATCTCACCATTAAGATATATTTACTTTTGGAAACTTATTGTCGAATAAAAAAACAAAAAGCGAAATATTCCATTAATACTAAACACCAACAGACACTTGTTTATGTAAGAAATACACCTTACCAAAAAAAACAAGGTATTCATGATCAGCTGGCATTTTTTCTGAAAGTAAAAAATTTTTATTTTTTTTTATTTTGCTGGCATTTATACCAATAAAAGAATTTCAAGGCTGAAGATATGAAAGGGACACTCACACTCTGAAAGCCAAAGACAAACTGGCAAAAAAACGCCAAAACATTGTATGCTGTAAATTTACATTATTGTCATTAATCTTTACATAATGGTGTATAGATGACTTTCAAATTTGTGTATTTCTCTTTACATTTCCAATGTCAGGTTGAATATGTTTTTTATTCACAGTAAGAGTTGATTATTTGATGACATCATTTATGTTGAATGACCTCTGGTCAACTGGTGTAACATATTCATAAAAAAACAAACTCCAAATTGGTCTATAACAGGCCAACCTTGCTGTCTGAATTGATTTGTGGCAGTCCGTCCAAGAAGGCTACATGTATCCGTAAGCTGTATTGTCTTCTTACAATAATTGGCAATGTTTGAATATTAAAAAAAAAAATTGAGGATTACGACTTGTCAATATCCTCACTAAATGAAAATGTTGGAAATCAAAATTCATAACTTTAGAAATCTAGAATAATGCTAATTAAATTTTTTATCACAATATCTTATACTGTGGATTAATTTATTTTTCGTGGGTACCAATTTTCGTGGATTAGGGAAAATTTGCATGTTCGTGGATATTTAATTTCGTGGTTTAACCGAAAGTCTGCGTACAAGCCTATACAAAATATGCCATTCATTGAACATTCAATTTCATGGTTCACTTGTACCCATGAAATCCACGAAAATTGATATCCAACGAATAATAATGAATCCACAGTATATATTTATTGTCTTCTTTTCGCTTTTTGGTGCTAAATTCAGATTTTCCATGCTTCTTGTCTTTCATTAGTGAGACCCTAAAACATGAATTTCTCACATCCATGTCATATGGACTCGGGTGGATACATTGTAGTTGTCTGATGGGCAGTGTAAAATCCAACACAGTGGGAAACTTCTGCTTGCCAACTTGCAAAATGGGAGCGGGAACTTTGTTATGAAAGAATTATCATTAGGATACTTGTCAATCTGGCAAATGATAAAAGTCCAGTGATCTAGATTAAAACGAGAAGGTTTGAAATCTTAAAAAAGATTTGTAAACATGAATAATGCTGCAACATGTTCATGCGTTTATTCCATTTAATGAACCTTTTCAATAGTCTTTTAATTGTTCATACAATTTACCTTTAATGTTTTTAATCTTTTGTATAGTTTGATGTAGATGGCAAATAGTTTCCATAAAATTAATTCACATTTTTTATCGATTAATATAGAGGTCAAATCCTTTAATTTTTTGTTTTTTTCAGATTTGGGAGTTATAATAGGAAAAGAAAGTCTGTCAGATGGATGGTATGTTAACATACATGTGCATTTACCTATATTAGTTATGATATAAATTAGTCCTGTCATGTTATGTATAAAGAGGATTTTAGCAAATCTTTTATTGGCCTACTTAGAGCAGAGGAAAAGTTTCTATACTCCACTTTTACTTTCTGTTTAACATTGATACCCTGATGGCCAATTTTAATCATAAATTGCCAAGTCAAGGCATGCCAATGAGAATAATTGAAAATAACAGTTGTTAATAAATAATTGAAAATACCTCAATGAATGTATTAATATTACAAATGTATCTCAGTAGAATGGCTGCAAATGTACTCTATAACTACATGTAGCAAGTATCCAGTGGTCATCACAGCATTTTCGTTAGGTACATTAAAAATTATTTTGCACATTCAGTATGTCATATTATCATGTTTTTTGTTGCCTTTCCGTCTTTTAGCAATATTTGAGAATAGAATGTGATGTAAAATGCAACAGCTGTTATCAGAATGTCATCTGGGAGGATTTCCCTATTCAGTAGATGTAATCAACAAAAACAAACATTCTCTGATACAACAGCTGTTAATGCCATAAATAGATAAGCATGTGATAAGGGTTTACTTACTGGCGTACACAATTTTAATCCTGGTATCTATGATGAGATAATTTACTGACAAACTCTGATATTTTTATGAGGACTTCTTCAAATGTTTTGGTCCTGAATATGCATGAAATTAATGCCACTGGACATTAAGCAAGCAATAAATAAATCAATCAATCAAAAACTGGTCATCAAAACATAGATGTTGTAACTGCTAAATTATCAAAATATGCCACAGAATTGATTTCAATTGATCAAAACCATGTAAATAATTGTCACTTTGTCCATTGAAAAAATCTATATGACGCTTTTGGGTTGCTTTCAGGGTTCGACATTAACTTTTATACCAACTTGTCCAGTTGGGCAAGTGCCCTATTACTTTTACTTGTCCGAAAGTGAAATCTACATGCCCAAACTTTTACATAATATTTTTGTGGTTGTAATGTAGTACATGCAGATAAAATATAGTTATCATGTATATGGGGTGTAAATTGATTATGGAGTATGAAAATATACTATGAGGCATATATGAGCCGAGGAGGGAGGGAAAAGATCGATGAATATACGGGAATTGGATCATTTACATCGAGATACTTGTTTCATAATAATTTATCTAAGAAATGCCATTTCAAATAACCCTTCTTGATAAACTGACAACAACTGACAAATTTCTTAAAGTTTAATTTCATTTTCTCTTTCAAGCTTTTACGTTTTTCCATCTTATGGAAATACACATCTGATGTCAAATTATAAAGTTAGAACAACGAAAATAGACCTCCGCTTTCCATTGGTCGGTGGGAATAACACGTGCGTCGGAAACGCCCGAGTGGTGTCCCGATGGATAACAATAATGACGAAGCAACGCCGCGGCCGCCTGATTGGCCAATATTTTTAAACGTGATCTATTTTTGGTAAAATGGGGAATTCATTGCGAACAATTGACGAAATATATGCATTGAAGGGGGGGTTAAGACCACTTTACTCGACCGTGCGGTGTTATCACTGAGTAATCTATGGACAAAACAACAGACACTATTGATTTTGTAAAATTTTAATCATATAACACTTTTTTTTTCACTTGCCCGATCGGACAACCAAGATGATGTTTTTACTTGTCCGAATACGGCATTAGCTTGCCCCGGGCAATCGGACAACCGTAAGTGTCGGACCCTGGCTTTCTAATTTATGTTTAATCTATATTTTTATTAATTTTATTCCAACATCTTTTATGATAGTGAACTATTCTAAATTTTTCTTCCAGGTGAATGTGATTTAGATGCTTTAACAGCACTTTTAGAGGATTCCGACTTAGAAGAAGAAACAGTTGACGATAAAAATGGCAACTCTCAAGGTATATACAGACAATATACATATATAACATAAAAAAATAGAATAAAAAAATTGACAAATCACTACATACCTCAAATAAAAGTAATGGTTAAAATTCAAAAAGATATTGAGGATAACATTAGATTGATTTATGATCTTTTACAGTATACAGAAGAACATAACATTCCAGGTTTATTGCTAGTAATTGATTTGAAAAAAGCATTTGATTCTTTATCTTGGGACTCCCCATTATCAGTACATGTATTACAATTTTTCAATTTTGGTGAATCTATTATTAACTGGGTTTAAGTATTTTATAGTAATATTATATCCACAGTCATTTAAGATGGAAATCTTTCAGATTTTTTTTTAATAGGACGTGGCTGCAGACAAGGGGGCACCTTATCCCCCTAGCCTTTCATACTTTGTGCAGAAATATTGAAAATACAGAAATGGGGGGCAAGAAATATTTCTGGTATAACTGTGACTAGGATAGAACAGAAGTCATCACAGTTTGCAGATGATACTTCACTTATTGTCGAGCCTTCTACTTTTGTCGAAAAGGCGAGACATAGCGATCCTACATTCTGTTGGCGTCCACAAATATTCACTCTGTGGTTAAAGTTTTTGAAATTTTAATAACTTTCTTAAACTATCCTGGATTTCTACCAAACTTGGACAGAAGCTTGTTTATGATCATAAGATAGTATCCAGAAGTAAATTTTGTAAAAAAAAAATTCCTGTTTTTCCGTATTTTACTTATAAATAGACTTCGTTTTTCTGCCAGGAAACATTACATTCACTCTGTGGTTAAAGTTTTTAAAATTTTAATAACTTTCTCAAACTATCCTGGATTTCTACCAAACTTGGACAGAAGCTTGTTTATGATCATAAGATAGTATCCAGAAGTAAATTTAAAAAAAAAAAATCCTGTTTTTCCGTATTTTACTTATAAATGGACTTAGTTTTTCTGCCAGGAAACATTACATTCACTCTGTGGTTAAAGTTTTAAAAATTTTAATAACTTTCTTTAACTATCCTGGATTTGTACCAAACATGGACAGAAGTTTGTTTATGACCAAAAGCTAGTGTCTAGAAGGAAATTTTTATTAAAATTTTGTACTTGTTTATCCATATTTTACTTATAAATGGACTTAGTTTTTTCCAGTTAACATTACATACAGTCTGCAGTTAAATTTTTTAAAACATTTATTAGACTCATAAACTATCCTGGATTTTTACCAAACTTGGACAGAAGCTTCTTACAATAAAAAAATTGTATCGAGAGGAAATTTTTATTAAATTTTTATCCTCATCTCATTTTTGTTGAGCCTGCGATTAACAGCAAAAGTAGGCGAGACACTGGGTTCCGCGGAACCCTTACAAATTTTTTTAGATGAAAGTGAACAGTCCTTAAATGAAACTTTTAACTGAATTAGATTGGTATGTGAAACTTTCAGGGCTAAATATTACTTTTTCAAAAACTTAGGTAGTTTGGATTGGGAGTAACAAATACTGTAGTGATATTCTTGTCCAAATAGAAATTTATTCTGAGGAGGAACATCTTTTTAGTTATTTTGTATTAATTTTAATGTTGATCTTGATAAAATCATTAACATCAATTATAATGAGAAAGTTTTGCAAATAAAAAATCTTAACTAAGATATGGTCAAAAAGAATTCTTACAGTAATAGGTAAAATTGCAATTGTGAAAACTCTGATTTTACCTGTCCTTAATCACCTTATGACAACATTGACAAATCCAAATCAAAAACTTGTTAAAAAGATTAAGGAGCTTATTTTTACATTTGTTTGGAATTCACCTGTACATTGTGCGCACATTACCATTACATTTGCGTGCAAAAATCATTACGTTTGTGTGCATTACCATTATATTTGCACGCATTATTTTACAGGTAAACTCAGGTAAATACATGTATATTATACTTATTTATTCATTCAACTGTTATTTTAAAGAAGGATAAGTCTGTTTTATTATGCACAAGCACTTATTCCTGGAAATATATGTATATACAGATAAAAATGTTTAGTACGCTTGGATTCTGCTGACAGTAGCGATGCCTAAAGACTTGGAGGAAAAGGGAATATGGCAAAATACCTTTGCAATTATTTACGGTGAAAATATCCTCTGACTTAAGTGTTATTTCGATACAGAAAGTAAATAGTTAATTCATCATACAGTAATAATTTTCCTCAGACTTGTTTCTGACAAACGAAACTCCATGTTTGTGCCTTCATGCAACTTTACAAATTGACTTAAATTATTATACGACCGCAAAAAAATTTTTGTGGTCGTATATTGGTATGACATTGGCGTCGTTGTCGTCGTTGGAAAACACATTAGTTTTCGACTCTAACTTTAGTTTAAGCGAATGGATCTCAATGAAATTTTACCATTAGGTTCAATACCACAAAAGGAAGGTGGGGATTGATTTTGGGGGTTATGGTACCAACAGTTCAGGAATTAGGGGCCAAAAAGGGGCCAAAAATAAGCATTTTTGTCGAGCCTTCGACTTTAGTCGAAAAAGCAAGACATAGCGATCCTACATTCCGTCGGCGTTGTCGTCGGCGGCGTCCACAAATATTCACTCTGTGGTTAAAATTTTTGAAATTTTAATAACTTTCTTAAACTATCCTGGATTTCTACCAAACTTGGACAGAAGCTTGTTTATGATCATAAGATAGTATCCAGAAGTAAATTTTGTAAAAATAAAATTCCATTTTCGTATTTTACTTATAAATGGACTTAGTTTTTCTGCCAGGAAATATTACATTCACTCTGTGGTTAAAGTTTTTAAAATTTTAATAACTTTCTTAAACTATCCTGGGTTTGTACCAAACTTGGACAGATGCTTGTTTATGATCATAAGATAGTATCTAGAAGTAAATTTTGTAAAAAAATAAATCCATTTTTTCCTAATTTTACTTTTAAATGGACTTAGATTTTCTGCTGGGAAACAACACATTCACTCTGTGGTTAAAGTTTTTAAAATTTTAATAACTTTCTTATACTCTTTTGGATTTGTACCAAACTTGGACAGAAGCTTGTTAATGATCAAAAGCTAGTATCTAGAAGGAAATTTTGTAAAAAAATAAATCCATTTTTTCTGTATTTTACTTTTAAATGGACTTAGATTTTCTGCCAGGAAACAACATATTCACTCTGTAGTTAAAGTTTTTAAAATTTAAAGAACTTTCTTATACTATTTTGGATTTGTACCAAACTTGGACAGAAGCTTGTTTATGATCAAATGCTAGTATCTAGAAGGAAATTTTGTTTTTTTCCAGTTAACATTAAATTCAGTCTACAGTTAAAGTTTTTAAACATTTATTAGATTCATAAACTATCCAGAAGCTTCTTATAATCAAAAGATAGTATCAAGAGGAATATTTTTATTGACTTACTTCCTCATTTTTATTGAGCCTGCGATTAACAGAAAAAGTAGGCGAGACACTGGGTTCCGCGGAACCCTTACGAATTTTTGTAACTTCCAGACATAACTTGTGTGTAAGTGTATGGATCTCTCTGACATTGTACCACAAGGTTCCATATCACAAAGGGAATGCTGGGATTGATTTTGGGGGTAATTGCCTCCAAATTTTAGGAATTTGGGGCCAAAAAGGGGCAAAAAACAAGCATTTTTCTAGTTTCATGACAATAACTTGTGTGCAAGTCTATGGATCTCTCTGACATTTTATCACAAGGTTCCATATCACAAAGGGAATGCTGGGATTGATTTTGGGGGTAATTGCCCAAAACGTTTAGGAATTAGGGGCCAAAAAGGGGCAAAATACAAGCATTTTTCTAGTTTCCAGACAATTACTTGTGTGTAAGTGTATGGATCTTTATGAAATTGTACTGCAAGGTTCCATATCACAAAGGGAAAGCTGGGTTTGAGTTTGGGGGTAATTGCCCTTAATGTTTAGGAATAAGGGGCCAAAAAACAAGCATTTTTCTAGTTTCCAGACAATAACTTTTGTTCAAGTGTATGGATCTCTCTGAAATTGTACTGCAAGGTACCATACCACAAAGGGAAGGCTGGGATTGAGTTTGGGGGTGATGAATCATAAGGGGGTTCAAAAAATTTGGGGGGGATTTTTTTTTCCTTTTTTCTCTTCAAAATTTTCCATTTTAAATTGGTTATTTCTGATTTATATATAAAAGCAAATAATAATGATATGGTTTGAATAGGTAAATTAAAATTTTTTAAGTTCTTAGACCACTTTCATTCTGTGTCAGAAACCTATGCTGTGTCAAATATTTAATTACAATCCAAATTCAGTGCTGTATCAAGCTTGAATGTTGTGTCCATACTTGCCCCAACTGTTCAGGGTTCGACCTCTGCGGTCGTATCAAGCTGCGTTCCAGCGGAGCATTTTATTTACTAAAGCGATCACTTTCGGTAAAATTAGGAAACAGAATACTATTTACTCTGAAATATTCGCAATGAAGTTACATGTATGTCTTAAGCTATTACAGGATTTCTTATGATCACCTTATATCTTTTTAGAATTCAATATGAAAAATATATAGTTTGAATATGTTCAAAATTCATATTAACTATAGTCATATTTATAACGAATTAATCTTTAATTTTACCTGTGTTACCTGTAAAATGAATGCGTGCAAATGTAATGCACCCGTACATTGTGTCAAGAAAGAACTGTTACAATAGGATTAGAGTGACAGTGGGTTGAAAATAATCAACCTAAGCTCCTTCATCATGGGCACAAGACATTTGGACTTAATCAGGAGTGTGACTAAGGTATCATTTGGGTTAACAATTGGAGTCAAGTTTACATTTGGCACTGTCTGGCAAACAGAATGGGTACTTAAAAAAAGAATATGTTATAAATAGAATGTCTTTTATTACATATAGCATATTATTAGATAATTAAAATATAGATACTTTACATGAAATTTACCATTACATGGGAGTATAAGCCCAAATGTCGAATTTAAAATTTAGCCCAAATGTCCACTTGCAATTGGCCCAAAAGTAGAACAATTTTAGCTCAAAAGTGCATCTCCCTTTATCACAGCCCGCAAATCTACATGGGTTTGAAATCTTTTTCAATCTGACTATAATGGAAAAATGTTTTATTTTCCATAATAAATCAAGAAAAATGATTTAAATTTGGTAATGGTTATCTGTCTTAAATCAAAGGAAATATGAAAAAATAAATTTTGGCCTTATTTATTCCATGCATGGGACACTATTGTTGATGAAGAAGAAAACTGTAAGTGGGAATATTTTTGTCTCAACTGCAATAATTTGCAAAAGGTAGGACTTACATTATACTGTTTCATGCATCTAAGAGATTTTAATTGACATCTACCTCAGTTTCAGAAGTCGTTTACCTTTATCTTGATTTAAATATTACTGTGCTCATAGTGTTTTCATGTTCCATGTTTATATAATGTAGTTTGTCTTTCAGTTACTGGAGGGCTAGTACATTGTACTATTAACTATTGATTGTAAATTGCCTAAGAATTACAATTCTATAGTAGTCATATTTAGGTGATTGTACAGGACTTGTCCAATGTTTACTTTCAGATAATATTGATGATGGTTGTGATATAGATGAGATTACTGCATTCCTGGAACAGTCAGATAGTGAAGAGGAAACTGAAGTAAAGGCAGACATAGGAACTGAAGTTACACAACAATCCAATAATGAAATGACTTCATTCCTTGAACAATCTGACAGTGAGCAGGAATCTGATGTTCAATCAGAAAAACATGTTGGAACTGAAGATATACAATCTGATAATAATGAAAAAAATGATCCACAGTCAAAGGATAATGTTGCTGCAAAACAGTGTAATGAATCCACACAGAAAATAAAAGATAATTCAGAAAGTATGTTACCAGTTATAATTTGAAATGTCTTCCATAGCAAATACATCTGAAAATTTTGTTCAAAACTAGGATTCTTTCATAACATAATAAAAGGAGTAGTCTCCTTTTAATCCTATTGTAAAACTTTGCACATTTCAGCTAAAAAAAATTAAATTTAAAATCTGTTCTTGTGAGTACAAATATTTTGAATTTGAGTAATGGTTTGATACCATGTGACCATAAATTATTTTACTTGGATGACATTGTATAGAGCTTTGTTGATTTTTGATTTTTATGGAACTGCCACAAAGTGGTTAGGCCATATAGTTTTACCCTTATCCGTCATTCTGTCATTCAATCATTCCGCAAAGAACAGTTATACAGATTTTTTTCTAAATGCCTTCACATATTGAGCTGAATTGTAGAATGTGAATCTACTATGATGAGTTACTGTTCGATTTTACATTTGCTTCTGCTCTGCTGATTTTTGTGGAAATTGCAGGCTTTAGACTTTAAAAATAACAATTGTACAGATTTTCTTTCTAAAGTATGTGAGTCTACTATGATGAGTTACAGATAAAGTTTACATTTGGTACCGCTCTGCTGATTTTTGCTGAAATTACGGGCTTTGGACTTTGAACATTTTATGAAAATAACAGTTATACAGACCTTTTTTCTAAATGCCTTCACATATTGAGTTGATTTGTAGTATGTAAGTCTACTATGATGAGTTACAGATCAAGTTTACGTATGGTTCCACTCTGCTGATTTGTGCTGAAATTACAGGCTTTGGACTTTGAAAATTTGGTGAAAATAACAGTTATACATACTTTCATTCAAATTTCCACTACTAAAAATGGCTTCAAGCTTTATTTGCGAGTAGGGCCATTTGTGTCGTTCCAACACATCTAGTTTCTTTGTTGTGTTAGTCTTATCCATAGTGGTTTATAACTATGTTTAATCCATCCAACATGTCCAAATGCTTTGATGTTTCTTGATTCATTTTTACCAGTCAAACTAATATCTTTGTTATTTGTAGTCAGAAAGGGTACTGAGGATCAAGGTCATCAGAGTGATGATGGAGATCAAGATTGTGGGAATGATGATGGTCAAGATTGTGAGACTGATGATGGAGATCAAGATGTACTTGAGAAATCTGTTGAAGTTGACAACATTCAAGGTTTTTATATGTCTTGCTGATCAACCTTTAAAATGATTGTATAATTATACATTGCATATGTTTTTCACTTTACCATTTAATCTATATTCAAACCACCACTGATAAGTAGACTTAGATTTTAGGAGTCAGCATTACACTTTTATATTTTTATCAGCAATCAAAGCAAGACGCAGGGTTCCATAGAACCCTTTACAAATTTGAATGCCTGTCTTTCTATTGTTGGTTTAGACAACATCAACTTGAAACTTACTACACAATGAACTGTTTAATATTAAAATATGCCAAATTAAGGTTTTGACTATGAATTTACGGTTTAAGTATAAGTCTTGGTTTAAGGCAGTTTGTGGTCACATCAACTTGAAACTTGGTACACATATTATGCCAACTTAGGGTTTTTAGAAAATTTTCACCATTCACTGAACATGGATTTATGGTAGTGCGACCAGGGCTTGGTACCAGTCCTATGAACACATATTTCTAAAAAAATTTAGCTGATGAAAAGTATGTTTTAATTATTGTAATTTCAGCCGAATTACTTGAAATGCAGAGAAAGATGCAGGAATTGCAGAACAGACTGGCGAAAACAAAATCAACAACTCCTCAAGTGTTGCATAAAAACAGAACTTCAAAACACAAGTCACCTAGTGCTAAACAAGATACAAGACTGTCTGCATGTGGCAAAGAAACAATTAGTTCTAAACACAAATCACCTAGTGCTAAACAAGATACAAGACTGTCTGCATGTGGCAAAGAAACAATTAGCTCTAAACACAAGTCACCTAGTGCTAAACAAGATACAAGACTGTCTGAATGTGGCAAAGAAACCATTAGTTCTAAACACAAGTCACCTAATGCTAAACAAGTTGCAAAAAAGCTGGATGATTCAGAAAATAAAACCTTTCATGGTCTGAAGGATGTAGGAAGTAATGGAAGAAAGATTAAGACTGGGAAAGATAATAGTATGGATCTAAAATCTCTTAGAGATAGGGAAAATTTGATTAGGAGTCATAACCTAAAACCAGAAAGAAAAAGGTCTAGTGGTGAAATTCTAAATAGTGCAGATAAAATAAAACTGAAGAAAAAACTAAAAAGTGCTGCTTCAGATTTAAAACATTCAAAATCAGCATTTACATCAAATGAACCTGAACTTAAGGGTAGCAGATCAAATGAACCTGAATCAAAGGGTGCTAACTCAAAAAAAACTGAATCAGATAAACGGATTGAGGAATCTATAGTGCCCAGTAGAAAATTAACCAGTCCAACTCTGAGCTCTCAAAAATCATCAGCAAAACCTAGTGAGTTTATGTATTGAAAAATAGTTCTCCATAAACTTCATATATCTTACTTTTAAGATAGACTTTCTAAATCCAACAAGATGAACATTGAAGTTTTTTTTTTCTTCATGTAACTAAAACTTAAGTTTCCTGATAAGAAAAGACGTATATTACACCATATAAAATTACTGATAAAGGACAGCAAAATTCATTTTCTATGTTTCGGGAATAATAAAATGTGAAAATAAAGCTAATAAAGTTAAAGAGCATTAAAAACAAATGAGGAAGTTGACATTTCTTTTTAAATTTAACACTTTATTTTATGATAGGGCTGACTTTGTCCGAAGATAATGAAAACCCTTTTTTCCCGCCATATGAATCTAAATCGGAGGTATGTTTGGAGGATAGAACACATGAATCTAAATCTGAGGAATGTTTGATGGACAGGAAATCATTAGAGAAAAGTTTGTTTGGTGACGATGACAGTGATTGGGAGCCTATGGAAGAAGGTTTGTTTCCTTTAACTTTTCATGAGAAGTCCCTTTTTGTCAAGCCTGCGACATTTATTTCCATTTTTCCGTATTTAACTGAAAAATGGACTTAATTTTTTTTTACAGTTAACAAGCAAATACAGTCTGAGTTAAAGGTATAGACATCAATTACTTTATCAAACCTTCATAGAATTTTATGAAACTTTGGCAGAAGCTTTTTTATGATTAATAGATTATGTCTGAAGCAAATTTTTGAAAATATATTTTTTTCATTTTCAGTAGTTTTCTGATAGATGGACTTAGTTTTTTACAGTTAACATTTTTACAGACAAACTGGAGTTTTTTACAGTTAACATTTACAGACAGTCTGGGATTAAACTTTTTTGACATTATAAATTTGTAAACCTTCATGGATTGTTATGAAACTTGAACAGAAGCTAATCTTGAAAACCATGAAGTAGCATCTAAAGAAAAAGTTTGATTTTTTTTTAAAATTCTTTAACATTACACTTCTACACTGACAGCAGCAATAGCAGGCGAGACACAGGGTTCTGCGGAACCCCTTACAAATTTTTACTACTAATTTTGAGAAGCTTTATATTAGTCTTTAAGAGCACCATGCTGTTCCTTTGTTGTGCATTTTATCAACTGCAAGAATGGAGATAATGTTTCCTCTCAGACCATTGCTATAAGCTTTATAGTTAGCATGATTATTGTCATTTTGTATAGTATACTTATCAGCAGTTTTATTTTTATGCCCCCGCCGTAGCAAAGAAGGCAGTAAGGTTTACCCTTGTCTATCTGTAGGTCCCGAAATTGGTTTCCATTCTCTAACTTTAGTTTGCCCCAAACAAATGTTATGAAACTTATACACAATGCTTATAACTACAAAACTCAGATCAAGTTCGAATTTGGGTGGAATCACTTTTACCGTTCTTGAGTTATGCCCCTTTATAAAGTTAGATGCAAGCGGGGTCATCATATGTATCCCATGGACACATTCTCCATTTATTTTAATTTTTATGCCAACGCCACAGCGGAGGGGGCATTAAGTGTTATCCTTGTCCGTATGTAGGTCTGTACGTACGTCCCAAAATGGGTTTCTGTTCTCTAACTTTAATTTGCCTCAACCATATGTTATGAAACTTATACACAATGCTTTATTATCACAAAACACAGATTAAGTTTGAATTTGGGTGGTGTCACCTTAACCATTCTAGAGTTATGCCCCTTTAAAAATGGAAAAATTGCTGATTTTTTTCGTTTCCATTTTCTAACTTAAGTTTGCCTCAACCTAATGTTATGAAACTTATAAACAATACTAATTACCACAAACATTCTCCATTTATTTTAGTTATTTTTAACCATACTTTGAGGCTTTTTTTTTATTATAGAGAGATTGTTTGTCTTGATTAGTAGTTTTTGATTTGACAAGTTCTTTTAGAAATTATTGGATTTCCAACATTTTAACCTATTTTTGCTTAATGATATTCAAAGACCTTTTGTTTATTCCTACTCCCTAAAATTGTTTGAAAATTTGGTCACGTCTCATTGAAACTTAAAATGTTTTAGTAAATGCCATAATTTTCACAATAGCCCAAAACTCTCAATATGACCATATTTCCATGGAAATGTAAAAAAATTTGGTAATAATTAAACGCTCCAATCTGGGAGGATAATATGTGTGTAGCTTTTTTTCTGCAGTCTATACTCTTGGGACTATTGAAATGTATTCAAATATTAGAGTAGCAATTTGTTGTTTTTGTAAACTAAGTTTGTTTGGGATTTTTTGGGCTGCCAGACGCTGTTCAAAATAAACATGGAATTTAGTAAACCTTATTCTATGAGAATATTGTGATGAAAATAATTGTATATAACATTTACCAATCAGCCTATGTAACAGGATATGAATCAGAGACATTGTTTTTGATACATAAGAAATGCTAGTTTCAAAGATTTTTAGAAATACTAACTGATGAATTTATAAATGAATAGACAAATACTGTTAAATTTAATGTTATTGTCCTTATATACAACTTTGAATTAAATTACAGATGATAAGGTTAAACTTACTGATGAAGGTCAAGAACTGAGAAAAATGATAAAGGATCATGGGAAGGTTAGACAGTCCAATGTCACATCAGAGCAGGTAGAAGAAATGAGAAAGAAAGCACAAAAAACTACTTGTAAGTTATCTCCTGAAAAAAAAAATTAAGATCTTGTGATATTAAAGCTAATCCCCTTTAAATGAAAGTAAATAAAAAATCTCCAATAATAACAGTCAAATAAACTAGATGATTTTTTTTAAGAACTCCATTATAAATTATAAGATATTCAGTGAATTGTTTTCTGTTAGTGATAACATCAATATTGCTAAAATCCCTCACATATTACCAGTTACCATCAGAAATTCAAGGGGCCTCGGTGGCCGAGTGGTCTAAGTAGTTACCACTATAATCACTAGCCAGTCAACACTGAGGTTGTGAGTTCGAACCCCGCTCGTGCGGGTGCACTCGACTCCAATCTTAAGTGACTAGGATTGTCAGTTTTCCTATCGAAGGTCGGTGGTTTTCTCTGGGCACTCCGGCTTCCTCCACCATTAAAAATTGGCCGCCATGAAATAGCCCAAAAGTGGCGTTAAAACACCATAACTCAGAAATTCAAAGTTTAGAATATTTTATAGTTTTGTTTTGCACTGTTATTTATTTATCAAAAAAAAAGGAGGTCACCCTTAAACGGATTTTAAGTATAAGGATCAAATACTGTCAGTATCTATATAAATAAGAAGATGTGGTATGAGTGCCATTGAGACAACTCTCTATCCAAGTCACAATGTATAAAAAGTAAACAATTATAGATCAAAGTACGGCCTTCAACACGGAGCCTTGGTTCACACCGAACAGCAAGCTATAAAGGGCCCTTAAATGACTAGTGTAAAACAATTCAAACAGGAAAACCAACGGTCTAATCTATATAAAAAAACGAATAACGAGAAACAGCTATGAACCACACCAATAAACACCAACCACTGAACAACAGGCTCCTAGCTTGTTTGTTAGATTTTGCTATTGAGTAGCAAGAAAAAATAAGTAAAAGAATTCAAAGACATAGTGATCCTGTTTGTAAGTTTCCATGATATTTAAATTTACTAAGACTATGTCACTGGCAGTTACATCATACACTGGACTACATGTATATAGAGGAACATAAATTTGATATTGAAATTTATAATTAATAATGTATTCTTTTGAAATTTTGTATACTGAAGGAAGAATTAAAGAAGTTTAAAGCTTGAAGACAAGTGGCCACTTGTTCATTTTAGAAGTCTATATGGTAACCTTTAGAGGTCTATTGAAAGCTGGTTTTGTGACAGTGCTTTCTCATTAGATTAACAGTCCCCCCCCCCCCCCCTCCAAAAAAAAAATCACTCTTTGTCAGTGTAGAACAAAATAGCTTTTGAGTATTTTCATATATCACAACAAATTTATTAAAAATTAAAATCAATAAACCATCAAAGAAACATTTTGTCATTTGAAGGGAAACCAAAAGGACTTCCTACAACTTCATCAATATCACCTAGTCAGAAATCAACAAAAGAAAATGAAGATCCCTCGTTAATAGATCCTTTTTCTGGTATCAGGATCATGTAAGTTTTATTTATAGAACGTCTACTGATTGAATTATTTAACTTCTGACTTAACTTGTTATGACTTTGATTATTCATTAATACAAAAATATCATTTATTTAGTCGTCTTGAGTTGTGTTTTTGATATGATATTTGGATTTTTGTCTCGCTGCGACTTATGTCACAGAATGCGAGACAAAGGGATGATTATCTGGCAATTGCCTGAATTAATTGTATAAATCTTTATATTTCAAAAGGTAGAAATAAACTATGCTTCATATCTGGTATACAGATGCCTTATGGTCTTAATTTTCTGTCTGTCACTCATTTGTCCCTTGCCATTGTTTAGTGGTAATAGAATCTTTGCAGGGTGTACATGTCTGTCAGACAGAATTCATTCGACCTTGAAATTTTACACACTTCTTAGTTATGTTTATCTAAAGATCTGTATAGTTTTTGGTTTTGATTCAAAATTTTATTTTTGAGATATTGATTTTTTTTTTTTTAAAGGGGGGTTTTCACATGTCGCGCCGTATCTCAAAAAACGATTTATGATTATTGCTTAAAATTTTACACACGTCTTAGTTATATTAATCTAAAGATCTGTATACTTTTTGGTTTTGATTCAAAATTTTATTTTAGAGATATTGAGTTTTTTGTAAAAAAAAAGGGGGGTTTTCGCATGTCATGCCGTATGTCAGAAACTATTTATGCTTATTGCATAAAAATTCACACACAAGACAACGGGCGTATCATGCGCTCATGGCGCAGCTGTTTATTTACTTTCTCAGGATTTTCATACAGGATATTTTAGATGAGTTCAAGGACTCACCATTTCTGCTCAGGGCCAGTTCAAAGACCTGTATAGAAACAATATCAATAAAATAATTCATTATTTAGGTCGAAGCAAAATAAGAGGAGCATCAACATGAGATCATTTTTGAAACTTTTTTAAATGAAATGATGATAAATTGACTCAGCTGATACAATTTTGTTGCATCTTTAGACAAGCCAGTTAAAAAAATGACTAGTCCAGTTTGGTTTTCTCATTTTAGTGAGAATCTTGCTTTCTGGCCTAAGGTTTAATTTGAATTGTCTTCATTATGCATCAGGGTGATGTCTTAAATCAATGCTTATACTGATAATATCTATAATGTACCACAATATCACTTTGATATATTTTAAGAAAACATTTTAATATTAATAAAATCAACTTTTAACTAGGAAAATTGTTATTTTGATGGTTAGTAAACCTACCGTCTTTAGGTGTATATAAAACGCACCCACGAATAGTACCTTTTTCACCCTTGAAACTTTGAGAAAAAAAGTTTCTTCTTATGCTTTACACGCAGGGACTTTCTGGAAAAATCCTAACTTGAAACTCGGTAAAATGCGTCTATTGAAAATGATTTCTTTTAGGAAACAAATGGAACTAAAGTCCTGGTTGATTACAGGATAACCAAACTATAAATAATCTAGCAAACTATGTTTGACTCTTTATTGTTTCCACGGATGTGTTTGATTTGAAACAACAGGAAGTGTTAAATCGGGAAGTTGTTTAAATGCAAATCGTAGTCGGTGAATCTTGTACGGAATACGGAATCATTACAAATATTCTTAAATACTATAAATAAATAAATTGTAATATTTATGTTGATAAATTAGTGCTGAAATAAATATTAATCTCTGCTAATTTTATTTATTGTTTGTAGGTACTCATTGAATCGTATAATCCGGATTATCACACTCTTATTGAATGTCAATTAGGAAGTCTAAGCGTTGTCAAAACAAATCAATGGACAGATTAATTTTGTTCCTTAATCTAATCCATACAGTTTACAAGATGGCATTGACATGTGTGCAATTGTGAATTGTATGAAGGTTTTAAAAAAAAATGTTAGGAAGTAAAAACATGTTTAAAATCATCACTTTATTCAACTTTACAACTGTTAAAAGTCACATGACACGTGATCACCTGATACTACGAAAGTAAAAAAAACAATGGCGGTCGCTTTCATCAAACAGGCGTGTTTTATTCAATTTTCATACATTTACCTTCTGTATTCCTTGTTACAACACATATACAAAGTAAGTTATAAACTCGAGAAACACCTACACTAATTTGGCCATTGACAGAATCCATCATCTCTAATTTGGACATGATCAAATGGAACTTCCGGGCGGCAACGGAGAACACAAGAAAACGCAAAAAACAACTACTAAAGCATTTAAATGATTTTTATTTGCATATAACATTACAAGGAGGTACAAATATATTTGTAAAACATAACAATCAAGTTTATGCTACGAAAATATTTTCCTCCTGACCACCTGGTTTCTTGATCAGAATTCGGCCTGAAAAAAAGTATTAAGAACAATGTACCCATACATAATACGCACCCCCCTTTTCAGAAATCATTCCCAGGGTAAAAACCTGCCTACTATACACACCTAAAAACAGTAATTTTTTAAACTTCACTTTTCAATAAGTTGAGATAACTACTAGAATTCACAAAAAATTGCCATTCTGTGGGGTAGTTTCTTTATTGTAAACTGGCTGATTGCTGATCAAAAACTTTATTGCAGAAATCCAAAAATTTCTAGTTTAGAAATGAAAAGCAGAATGAGAGATAGAAAGTTAGTAAAGATTTCAAAGATTGATAGGAGGGTTTCTGAGCATGACAATTGGGTAACAATAGGAGTGATTGTTAGTAAAACTGACCCACGACAGTCAGCCACAGTAAGTTACCTTATACATACCATACATGGTTGCAGGGATAAAATTTGATTTTATGGTGTTGCCAAAGTTGGCTTACAAGCCTGTAGAAAATTTACACTAAATTGAACATTGAAATTCATGGTTCACCTATACCCACAGAAATTGGTATTCCAGGAATAATAATGATTCCACAGTACTTTATCAAAACATTTTTACTTGCTAAAATTAATGACATCACCCTCAAAAAACATAAAGGATAAATTCATAAAACTATTTACTGTTGGATGACTTTTTGTTATCAATTCATCTGTATATCAACTATTCTAACCTGCATAAATTAAAGACCAAACAGCCTATTGTTGATGCGCATCAACTAACGCAACTTGGTAGTGACATAAAAGCTCTATGATGTTGTTTCTAGTCACGAAAAAAAAACGTCAAATTATAACGTCCTATTTCGTGTTTTTTACAGATTCCAACATGATGTACGCTTAAAACTACGTCTTCCAAGAAAAGTGGAATTAAGCGTCGCGCTGATACCTAGTGGAAATTAAACACAAATGGACACAAAAGATACTACATTATCTGTAACCTCCGTTTTAATAAAAATAATAATAAAAATATAAATGTTGAACTCGGCTTTTTGCATTTGCGCCGATCTGCATTTCACTTTTTTTCTTTCACTTGCGCCGACTTTGTCTTTCATTTGTGCCGATTCATTGTGTACAGGTAAATTATAGGTGAGAGTTATTTTTTTATTTATCATATAAACCTCTTCCGTTAGCCAGTTGTACATATGTTATGAATTGTCAATTACAACATGTATATAACTGTTGTCCCCTGCTCACAAAGAGGAGGTGGGAGTAGAATTTCGAGCAGGATAGGTCAATTTAAAAGATATTTGTGCACTCTGTTTACATCCACTAAAATCACGCAGTAAAATTCTATTTACAGCATTTCAAAGCACCACAATAAAATCCATAAAAATGTAATACTAGTACAATGAATTATTATCTTGTCGAGAATTTATATGCCACACATCTGATATATTCCTTTCTTGTCATTTCATCTTTTCTATACTTGTTGTACTTGCCAACAACGAAGTCCATCTTTTCTTTCTCGTGTCAAAACGAAGTTCTCGAACAATATAACCAAAATTATCTTAAACATAAATAAGGGAACACTGTTTATATCCATATATTGCCATGCAATTTACATTCTAGGTTTACTACATGTACATGTATTTACTCGTATAGCAAATATAGTATCGGGGCTTGTGATAAAAAAAATAAAATTGGCGCTAATGAAAGAATCAAATCGGCGCAAATTAAAGATCGAAATTTTTTTTAAATCAGCGCAAATCTCGTACGCCCGTGTAACTTTACACTGGTAAATTTATATGACTAACGCTTAGAATTCTAACTTAATATGTGATTTTCAAAATTGAGTTTTCAGAAGGTTAGGCTGATAAACAATACTTTCTAGAAGTTTCGATATACTGGCAACGTATGCATGTTGAGATTAACTTATTTCTTTAAGATTCTCGTAAAATAATGGTGATCTTGCAATGAAGTTAAATTTTATCTATACTGCTTAATGACAAAATCTTTTAGTAAAAATAAAATGATAAAAGTTCATTGTCGGCAATCTATACATACCTTGTCTTTGTTTTAATTCCCAAAATGAGCTATTTATAGATTCACAATATTTCATCCTGTTTTGAGAAATACTTTATAGTTTTCAACGGAAAATTATTTCTTATATTCTAAATCAATTTTTGCATTAAAAACTTATTTGTAGTTTGTATTTACTGTCTCGTTTATTCAAAACACGTGAGGGAGTAATAACGGGGATCGTATTTTATGATAGGTTAAATGGATGTAAAACGTTTTATAAAGGATCGAAAACTTTAATTCATATATTATACCTATAATTTTAATTTTCTTATATTTTAAATATTCAGAAATAATGAATCCACAAACTAGATGGAATAATTTGTATATGTTCGTCTTAGTCGGGATACATAATGGTATAAAGAAGTCCGTCGGTGCTAATGTGTGTCCGTCTGTCAACAGTAGCGAAAGAGTGCGCTAGGGCAAATTCTGAAATTGACACGACAAAAAACCCCACACATCTAGTTTAATATAGTCAAATAGTCTGTAAGTTAACCAGTGTCAACTTTCATTTCTCTTTTTATTTTCAATGATTTTGCTAATGAGAGGGAGAGGACAAAAATAGACATTCCTTTCTAAAGCATCGTAAAAGGTTATTTCGAACAATTTTTCATTCCGACGGATGGTGTTTCTGAAGGTTAATTTTGTGCGGCAACAACATCATGAGGTCTGATACTGATACATACATGTGATCTCTTTATTACCGGATAATAAAATAGGTTAATATAGTTGTTATTTTTGATTCTTGAAAATTTAAATGTGGGTTTCAAACGTCCAATTTGCAATTTTTTTCAAGTAGTACGCCAGCAAGGAAAACTTGTACTATGACGTCAGATTCAATGTTCTGAAGAAAGACAACTCTTTTTTTTTCAAAACGAACGAAAAAAAACATGAAAATTAATCATAACTTTTTTGAAAGGTCGGTGACATATACATTTTTTTGCATTATTTTGAAGAGTACACCTGGCACTTTCCTTCTTGAAATTTTTATGAAAAAATCGCTGGTAGATATTTTTGTCGAGCCTTCGACTTTTGTCGAAAAAGCGAGACATAGCGATCCTACATTCCGTCGGCGTCGTCGTCGGCGGCGTCCACAAATATTCACTCTGTGGTTAAAGTTTTTGAAATTTTAATAACTTTCTTAAACTACCCTGGATTTCTACCAAACTTGGACAGAAGCTTGTTTATGATCATAAGATAATATTCAAAAGTAAATTTTGTAAAAAAAAAATTCCATTTTTTCCGTATTTTACTTATAAATGGACTTAGTTTTTCTGCCAGGAAACATTACATTCACTCTGTGGTTAAAGTTTTTGAAATTTTAATAACTTTCTTAAACTATCCTGGATTTGTACCAAACTTGGAAAGAAGCTTGTTTGTGATCATAAGATAGTATCCAGAAGTAAATTTTGTAAAAAAAAATTCCATTTTTTGCGTTTTTTACTTATAAATGGACTTAGTTTTTCTGCCAGGAAACATTACATTCACTCTGTGGTTAAAGTTTTTGAAATTTTAATAACTTTCTTAAACTATCCTGGATTTGTACCAAACTTGGAAAGAAGCTTGTTTGTGATCATAAGATAGTATCCAGAAGTAAATTTTGTAAAAAAAAAATTCAATTTTTTTTGTATTTTACTTATAAATTGACTTAGTTTTTTCTGCCAGTTAACATTACATTCACACAGTAGTTAAAGTTTTTAAAATTTTAACAACTTTCTTAAACTATCCTGGATTTGTACCAAACTTGGACAGAAACTTGTTTATGATTAAAAGCTAGTATCTAAAAGGAAATTTTGTTAAAATTTTGTTCCATTTTTTCCGTATTTTACTTATAAATGGACTTAGTTTTTCTTCCAGTTAACATTACATAACAGTCTGCAGTTTAAGTTTTTATTTTAAAACATTTATTAGATTCATAAACTATCCTGGATTTTTACCAAACTTGGACAGAAGCTACTTACAATCAAAAGATAGTATAGAGAGGAATATTTTTATTAATTTTTTTCCTCATTTTTGTTGAGCCTGTGATTAACAGCAGAAGTAGGCGAGACACTGGGTTCCGCGGAACCCTTACGAATTTTTTAATACTTGAAACGTTTTTCATTCTTGCATTTTTTTTTTGGCGGGAATGAAATAAATCATATATTTTAAGATCCAACAATAAGAGTCTTAAACTCTTGAACCTGTATTTGATAGACACAAATCTATTGTTTAACATGAAACAAGAATTATGCTTGTAGGTTTGATATAATGGGATTTTTTGAGAGTTTAAATAACAAGCAAATATCATGTTAATATTCGGGAAAACACGAAACTGAGGTTGCGATAGTGACAAAACTAAGTCGGTGACCCCCAATTTTTTTTAATCATATTTTGTTCCTTAAATCATGAAATACCTTCACATAAAATTTTAAGGAAAATCACTGGTAGAACTGAATAGGCTGTTTGGTCTTTAAGAAAAATTCTTTTCAAACCAAGATGTTAAACGTTTATACTTATAAACTCAAGAAGCAAAATTTTAAAGTATATTGCCTATTTCAGGGTAAAACTTATTGTATCTGGAAACTGAGTGACCTTCAGGATTGTGATAAAACCATTTCGTTTTTCCTATTTGGTGAAGTTTACAAACAGCATTGGAAGAATGAAGTTACAGCTGTTGTAGGAATACTCAACCCTAATCTTATGGACAAGGCCGAAAAGGTAGGAATACTCAACCCCAATCTCATGGACAAGGCCGGAAAGGTAGGAATACTCAACCCTAATCTCATGGACAAGGCCGAAAAGGTAGGAATACTCAACCCTAATCTTATGGACAAGGCCGAAAAGGTAGGAATACTCAACCCTAATCTTATGGACAAGGCCGAAAAGGTAGGAATACTCAACCCTAATCTTATGGACAAGGCCGAAAAGGTAGGAATACTCAACCCTAATCTTATGGACAAGACCAAGAAGTAAAAATGCTAAGACCTTATCTCATGGGCCACACAGTAAAGGATAGAATACTTTATATCAGTAATATGAACAATGCTAAAAATGTTCAACTGTTCAACCCTCAACTTGGAGAAAAAGATAGGAATTCTTAACCCTTATCTCTTGGTATGATAGAAAAGGTAGGACTACTCAACCCTAATCTCATTGAGTTGATGGAAAAGGTAGTTATACTGAACCTTTATCTCATGGACAATGCAGAACAGGTAGAAATACTCAACATTTATCTCAGAAGTACTCAACATTTATCTCAAAAATACTCAACCTGTATCTCATGAACAAGACAGAAAAGGTAAGAATCCTAAACCCTGATGCCGTGAACAATGCAAAATAAAATAGCCTTAGACCCCTCAAATGTACTTGAGTCACGGGTCACAAATAATGTTGATGTACTCTATATATTTAGTTTCCAAATAATAATACTTGACAGTCAGCAATTCTAAGTTTCAGTTTTTTTTCAGGCTCAGAATGACATGGCCTTCACTGTAAATCATCAAGCACAGATAATGTTAATGGGTTACTCCAAAGACTTCGGTAGATGTGCTGCTATGAGTGGTAAAGGCAAAAACACAGGAAAACACTGTACTAACTTTATAAATAAGTAAGTTCTGTGTGAATGGACAAATTTTCTTAGACACTACTGTAAATTCAGAAATTATTACATGCATTTATTATTGCGATTGTGGAAGAAAACACCAAAATGTGAGATTAATTATTGCGATTTTATGAAAATCTGAATACAGTTATATGTATTCGATATCAGAATGCGAGTTGTAATTATTGGGATACTCACCCAGTTGCATTATTCAAATTAATAAGAACCTCGCAGTAATTTCTGAATGTACAGTATCATAGCAGATTATTGTGAACAAATTGAGGGGAGACTATTGGAGTATCCTTATGCTTCACTGACATTAGTTCAGTTTGACCTTAAATCAGGTTGTTGTTTTTTTTCTTTTCATTTATTTCCCATTTTATCATGCAGTGGCCTCTGGTCCATGTTTTTTATACGACCGCAAAAAAATTTTTGTGGTCGTATATTGGTATGACGTTGGCGTCGTCGTCGTCGTTGTCTGGCGTAGTCCGGCGTCGTCCGAAGACACATTGGTTTTCGCACTCTAACTTTAGTTTAAGTGAATGGATCTCTATGAAATTTTACCACAAGGTTCAATACCACAAAAGGAAGGTTGGGATTGATTTTGGGGGTTATGGTACCAATCGTAAAGGAATTAGGGGCCAAAAAGGGGCCAAAAATAAGCATTTTTGTAACTTCCAGACATAACTTGTGTGTTAGTGTATGGATCTCTTTGACATTGTACCACAAGGTTCCATATCACAAAAGGAAAGCTGGGATTGATTTTGGGGGTAATTGCCTCAAAATTTTAGGAATTAGGGGCCAAAAAAGGGGCAAAAAGACAAGCATTTTTCTAGTTTCATGACAATAACTTGTGTGCAAGTGTATGGATCTTTCTGAAATTGTACTACAAGGTTCCATATCACAAAGGGAAAGCTGGAATTGAGTTTGGGGGTAATTGCCGAAACATTTAGGAATTGGGGGCCAAATAGGGGCCAAAAATAAGCATTTTTCTAGTTTCCAGACAATAACTTGTGTTCAAGTGTATGGATCTCTTTGAAATTGTACTGCAAGGTACCATACCACAAAGGGAAGGCTGGGATTGATGATGGGGGTAATTGCTTCAATATTTTAGGAATTAGGGGCCTAAAAGGGGCAAAAAACAAGCATTTTTCTAGTTTCAGGACAATAACTTGTGTGTAAGTGTATGGATCTTTCTGAAATTGTACTACAAGGTTTCATATCACAAAGGGAAAGCTGGGTTTGAGTTTGGGGGTAATTGCCCTAAACGTTTAGGAATTTGGGGCCAAAAAGGGGCCAAAAAACACATTTTTCTAGTTTCCAGACAATAACTTGTGTTCAAGTGTATGGATCTCTCTGAAATTGTACTGCAAGGTACCATACCACAAAGGGAAGGCTGGGATTGAGTTTGGGGGTGATGAATCATAAGGGGGTTCAAAAAATTTGGGGGGGATTTTTATTTTTTTCCTTTTTTTTTTCTTTTAAAATTTTCCATTTTAAGTTAGTTATTTCTGATTTATATATATAAGCAAATAATAATGATATGGTAGGAGATACACACCAAACAGGATGTGTAAATTATTATATAATAAGTATTGTGCAATAGCAAGAAATCTTCAATTGCACAGTATTGCGCAATAGCAAGAAATCTTCAATTGCACAGTATTGCGCAATAACAAGAAATATCCACTAGCACAATATTGCGCAATAGCAAGAAATTGTCAATTGTACAGTATTGCGCAATAGCAAGAAATATTTAATTGCACAGTATTGTGCAAAAGAAGATACTTCGTATAAATTGCTTATTTCTTGACCAATTTCAATGGGGTTTTATTCTTGACTTCTTGGGGTTCTTTAATATGCTGAATCTAACCGTGTATTAAGTTTTTGGATTTTGGGCCCCGTTTTTAAATTGGTCCACATTGAGGTCCAAAGGGTCCAAAATTAAACTTTGTTTGATTTCATCAAAAATTGAATTATTGGGGTTCTTTGATATGCCGAATCTAACCGTGTATTTAGATTCTTAATTTTTGGTTCCGTTTTCAAATTGGTCTACATTAAGGTCCAAAGGGTCCAAAATTAAACTTAGTTTGATTTTAACAAAAATTGAATCCTTAGGGTTCTTTGATATTCTGAATCTAAACATGTATTCAGATTTTTGATTATGGGCCCAGTTTTCAAGTTGGTCCAAATCAGGGTCCAAAATTAAACTTTGTTTGATTTCAACAAATATTGAATATATGGGGTTCTTTGATATGCTGAATCTAACCATGTATTTAGATTTTTGATTTTTGGGCCCCGTTATCAACTTTGTCCACATTGAGGTCAAAAGGGTCCAAAATTAAACTTTGTTTGATTTCATCAAAAATTGAATTCTTGGGGTTCTTTGATATGCTGAATCTAACCATGTATTTATATTTTGGATATTGGACCATAATAGGTGAATGTCCAATTTAAAATTTTTAAGTTCTTAGACCACATTCATTCTGTGTCAGAAACCTATGCTGTGTCAAATATTTAATCACAATCCAAATGCAAAGCTGTATCAAGCCTGAATGTTGTGTCCATACTTGCCCCAACTGTTCAGGGTTCGACCTCTGCGGTCGTATCAAGCTGCGCCCTGCATTTTATTTATCATTGTGAAGTCAACATCCGGTACTATGGAAAAAGGAAAATGTGCTTTTTAAAAACAAAAGTCAAGTTTCTGACAGCATGATTTTGCATTAATAAAGAGTCAAAAGCAGATGTAAGTACTCTGATGTTGCACATTTCGAATGATGCACTGTCAATGTAACAGTTTACATCAGAACATCAAATTTATATAAAAAATCTGAAGTTTTATATGTTTTTTGTCAATCATTGTTATGATGCCTAAATATTTACCATGATTAAAATTGAGAATGGAAATGGGGAATGTGTCAAAGAGACAACAACCCGACCAGAGAGCAGACAACAGCCGAAGGCCACCAATGGGTCTTCAATGCAGCGAGAAACTCAGGCACCCGGAGGCGTCTCTCAGCTGGCCCCTAAACAAATATGTATACTAGTTCAGTGATAATGGACGTCATACTAAACTCCAAATTATACACAAGAAACTAAAATTTAAAATAATACAAGACTAACAAAGGCCAGAGGCTCCTGACTTGGGACAGGCGCAAAAATGCGACGGGGTTAAACATGTTTTTTGAGATCTCAACCCTCCCCCTATACCTCTAGCCAATGTAGAAAAAACAAATGTACAACAGTACGCACAGTAAAACTTGATGAAAATCAGAATAAAAAAAAAAATGTCTAGCTACCTGAAATATTTTTGGAAGCCCTGACAACAAGTAATAAGCTGTGATTTCTTTTTTAGAGACAATCTATTCTTCTTCATTTGCTATGTATATGGAAGACCTTCCCCTCTTTATAATTGGGCTTTTGTTTGCCTGTTAAATTGATAGTTTAAATCACGAAATGATTATTCTTGATTGTTCTAGAAATACAGTGTTGAATCTGTCTACAGAAATCCAATGCATTTCATGGGTCAGTGACTACTAAAAAATAGTTAAGATTTTTTGTAATCTTAATTTCTCTCTTATTATGAGTAATAGGACAACTATATTTGATATGTGCGTACCTTTCAAGGTCCTCATGCCTGTCAGACAGTTTTCACTTGACCTCAACCTCATTTCATGGATAGTGAACAAGGTTAAGTTTTCGTGGTCAAGTATATATCTCAGATACTCAGGGCTAACACTACTTCAGAATCATAGAGAGAAGTGGCTTATCTTTTTGAAACTGATAGGGAAAAGTGGTGAGACTTAAAAAACAGAAGTGCAAAAAACAGAAGTGCTTGTTCACTCGCAGCGCTACAATGTTTTGTTTTTACCATAATATAAAGAGCCATATGTATCCTATTTTTATGCCCCCTCCATAGTGGAAGGGGCATTTAGTTTTACCCTTATCGGTCTGTACGTCTGTCGGTACATCCATAGCTCTGTACCTCCCAAAATTGGTTTCCGTTCTCTTACTTTAGTTTGCCTCAACCAAATGTTATTGTCTCGCCTTGACCTAGTCAAAAAGCAAGACATAGGTATGTTGTTTCCGGCGGCGGGGTCAACAATGTATTAATTTGTGATTAGGTCTAGTTTTTGGTGAACCACTAGTGGTAGATCAATGATATTTGTTGTGCAGTTGTATAAGCATTAGCATATATCATTTCCATGGAGATTATTTGGCCATGCCCCCTCAGTTATGGTTCATTGACTTTGAATATTTTTCATAACTTACATGTTAAAGTATTGCTATTTTAATTTCAACACTTGCATTTTACTATCAAAATAACAAAAAGGCGAGACATATCTCTGTGTTTACAGTTTATGAAACTTATTACCACATTACACAGATCAAGTTTGAATTTGGGTGGTGTCACTTTTACCTTTCTAGAGTTATGCCCCTTTATAAATGGAAAAATTGCTGAGTTATTTGTTTCCATTCTCTAACTTAAGTTTGCCTCAACCAAATAGTATGAAACTTATACACAATGCTTATTACCACAAAACACAGATCAAGTACGCATTATCTGTGTCCCATGGACACATTCCCCATTTATTTTAATTCTTTTTATATTGTTCAATTCATACCTGAGAATGCAATTAAATTAACAGTTGTTTCAGTTTATGTCTTAAATAATCATTTATAGTTACTCAATTATATTTTTTCCTCTTGTCAGAAACTTCCAACTATATATCTAGCACTAAAAAGATCTTTTTTATAGCAAAAAAGAAAAGAAAGTATCATATATCAATTAAAATTCAGTCAAAAATCTATTCTGTTTATCATGTTTATGAATTTCTTTTTTTCTCCTGGGACTTCCAGGTTTCTCATTAAAAAGATATATAAATTTAAAAAAGTTAAGCAACTTAATCAATAAATTGAAACAATGCATTTACATGGAAATATAAATGTTTAGCAAGGATATCTAATGAAAAGTTTTTTATGGACGTGGAAATGCAAAATTTTCACTTTTGGGATCATTATTCTGCTGTCAGCTGTTCCATTGTGTCATCTGTAGTTATTATCGTAAGAATATGGATATCGGTCATAGCTGATCCACTTCCCATGAATCCCACCTCCAATCTAAGGTTCGTACAAATATTCCAATGGCGGAAATAAACAATGTTTGACAAGTGATTTGGAAAGGAATATGACACTTTTAATGCAATAAATGGATGAAACATTAACTAAAAGCAATTTTTATCACTTTCTAATGAAGAAACAAACTTATTTTGCCGAAAATCAGAATGTTTTGATATACGCTCTTGAGTAACAATTACCTGAAGTGAAAGAAAATACTTCATTGAAGTTGTTTCTTTGAAATAACATATGACCAACATGTACAGTTAATACTTTCACATCTTTTCTAAAGAAATAAATTGTTTCTGTCTTTGAATTTCTTTACTTATAAATGAAAAATTGCTGTTTTATTGACTTGGTAAAATGGAAAATTACCAATGACAAAAGCAATTGCAAGTGACTATTTAGAACACCAGGACGACTAGATATCACTTTTGACGGACGGGCAAAGCGAAGTGACAGACCTGAAAGCGACTTTTTCGCCCCAGTCGCCTGCTAGCCTGAGCCCTTGATGCTATAAGCAATCGGTCTTCTATATTTGGTGTATGGAATGATTGTAAGGTGTACATGTCCAACTGGCAGGTGTCATCTGACCTTGACCTCATTTTCATGGTTCTCTGGTTAAAGTTAAGTTTTTGTGTTTTGGTCTGTTTTTCTGATACTGTATGCAAAAGGTCAACTATATTTGGTGTATGGAAATAATTTATGATGTACATGTCAGTCTGGCAGGCTTTATTTTACCTTGACCTCATTAACAATCCCCCCCCCCCCCCCCCCCTTTTTCTTATTAGCTCACCTGGCCCAAAGGGCCAAGTGAGCTTTTCTCATCACTTGGCGTTCGTCGTCCGTCATCTGTCGTCGTCGTTAGCTTTTTACAAAAATCTTCTCCTCTGAAACCACTGGGCCAAATTTAACCAAACTTGGCCACAATCATCATTAGGGTATCTAGTTTAAAAAATGTGTCCGATGACCCCGCCAACCAACCAAGATGGCCGCCATGGCTAAAAATAGAACATAGGGGTAAAATGTGGATTTTGGCTTATATCTCTGAAACCAAAGCATTTAGAGTAAATCTGACATAGGGTAAAACTGATTATCAGGTCAAGATCTATCTGCCCTGAAATTTTCAGACAAATCTGACAACCTGTTGTTTGGTTGCTGCCCCTGAATTGGTAATTTTAAGGAAATTTTGCAGTTTTTGGTTATTATCTTGAATATTATTATAGATAGAGATAAACTGTAAACAGCAATAATGTTCAGCAAAGTAAGATCTACAAATAAGTTGTCATGACCAAAATTGTCAGTCAACCCCTTTAGGAGTTATTGCCCTTAATAGTCAATTTTTAACAATTTTTTGTAAATTTTTGTAGTCTTTTACAAAAATCTTCTTCTCTGAAACTACTGAGACAAATTTAACCATACTTGGCCATAATTATTATTAGGGTATTTAGTTTCAAAAATTTGTCCGATGACCCCGCCTTCCAACCATCATGGCTGACTTGGTTAAAAATAGAACATAGGGGTAAAATGCAGTTTTTGGTTTATATCTCTGAAACTAAAGCATTTAGAGCAAATCTGGCAGGTGACAAAAATGTTCATCAGATTAAGATTTATCTGCCCTGAAATTTTCAGACAAATCTGTTGTTGGGTTGCTGCCCCTGAGTTAGTAATTTTACAAAAATTTTGCAGTTTTTTGTTATTATCTTAGATATCATTATAATATCTAATATCTAATACTATTAATAATGATTTTAACCTTATTTTACATGATTTCCAAAGCATCAGTAAATACAGGTGAGCGACACATGCTCTTGAGAGCCTCTAGTTTATTACTACGTAATAGAGGGAATTTTGATGATAGGGTCAGTATAACATTTTTAGCTATAATGGAAGTAAATGTCTGTTAAATTAGGATATATGCATTACTTTGTTTAACTATACTACATGTTCTTTGTTTTAATATAATGCCTCGTTCACACGTACATTTAATTCGAATTGAATTCGAATTGAATTCGAATCGAATGCGAATTGAATTCGCTAATCGCGTTCACACACTCTTCTTTTTTAATTCGCATTGATTCGAATTGGCTAAATCGCATTATCCAATTCGCATTAGAAATACGTTTTTGTTGATACGAATTAAAAGTTAACGTCGTTAGGACAGTAAAGCGAATTTGACGCGCATTGCAATTCAAATTAGAATTTACGTTTGGACGTTAAACGTTTCGAATGCGAATTAAACTAATTCGAATTAGTTAATGCGAATCGAATTCGAATTACGTGTGAACGCAGCATTATAATACCTATCTGCTCTGCTTTTATTATAGACAACAAGGAGAATTTTGTACATTTCATGTTCAGCGAGCATATAGCCATACTTGTTCACAGAGAACAGAGTTACAGGGAAGGTAATGAACAAATAACCACAATACAGAAGTTCAGCTGAGGTTCAATAGATTTTGAAAAATTTTGAGTCCATAAACTCATTTTCTCTGAAGTTACATGAATTACTTGCTTGATATACTCAAGTACTCAAGTATAACTGTTGCTGTTTAAACAAGATAGTAAAGTAAATCCTGTTAATACAAATCAAATTTTATAAATCAAAGTTTATTCAGACAGTACAAAAACTTAAATAAAACTACTCTATTCTGAAACATGTGGAGAATAGAACTGTATATGTAATATTATAATTTTTAGCCATGTCATTAGAACACCATAATGAATTCTTTTCAGATTGCATAATTTTCAGCAGTGTGTTATTAAGGCTATTCCTATAAAATTTTGAAATAGATATTAGTATCTATCCTTTGATGTTCAATAGTTACCAGAATTCAACACAACTTTTTATTTGACAGTTACTCTGGGATGACACCAAGTAACCACAAATATAAACCTCAAGATAAGAAAGATGGATTTTTCTTCTATCAAGGACAGACATTTACAACTGGAAAGTAAGTACTTTAGTGATACTTCTCTTATATATCTCCCGCTGTAATATATACCTCCAGCTTCTTTTTCTATGAAGGATAGATGTATGCATCTAAAGAAAGAGAAATGGACAATTACAACCATTTAAACAACGTTAACACAAATTTGAAAACTGGAAGTTGCAGAAACATTGAATACCTTTGTTTATCTTGCCTACAACAAAGGCAAGACAAAGTGACCCTGCAGCAGTCCATTGTCATGGGCCTTGGTGTTGTCAATACTTATAGGTTCAGTTTGTGGTAAGATTTTTTGTAAGACTTTGGACAAAAGTTTATTCAATACAAGACAGCAACCAAAGGAAATTGTTTTAATGTTTTTTTTCCCATATTTTACTGATATATTTCCCTAGCACTAAAATTTAGATACTGTACAGTCTGGTTTTATTTGTATTTCACAAAGCTTGGACAGAAGCTTCTTCATGATCAAGAGATAACTCCTTGAACAAATGTTTTTTTTCTTATTCATTTTTCTGTTTTTCCCTGATCATTAAACCATTTGTTTTTTTGTTAGTCAACACAGCACTTTTACACTGACAGCAGTAGTTGACTGTTAGGCCATAGCCACCTTAATTTCTAGCAATAAATGATTGAAAATAGGTAAAAGCAGTAAGACTTTTTTGTTAGATATAAAAGACTAATTAATGGCTATAGCTTCACATTTCTGCACATGCACGCTTATATACATACATTTTCAGAATTTAAGAATAGTAAGGAATATTAAAGTGGATGAATTGAGCCATTTCTTAACAAGCTATTAGATTTCTTTGTGTACTCAATTTTATATATACTTTTTCAGAATGCAGAATAGTAGGACTTAGATAATAGTAGACACATTTAAGCAGGAACAACCCACATTAAGACATTTCTTTGTGTACACACTATTATACATATATTTTAGAATGCAAGGAAACAAGAACAATAAACACAAGATAACAGTGGATAAATTAAAGCACCAGCAGGCCATGAAGGGACAGGGTAAAGTGACAACAATGTCACTACATGCCATAGATCCTGAAGATGTAAAGAAGTTACAAAAACTAGACAATGTCAAGGAAGAACAGAATCCATTGTAAGTAAATATTCCTGAAAAAGTTACCATTCCTAGAACTATACTGTAATGTGCATAATTGAAAAGTTTTGAAGTATTTTAGAGATTTATTGAATTGTGAAAGATTTGCATAGCTACATTATAGAACTTTTGGGGCTTGCACTCCAAAGTACCTGGCGTGGTTTGAACTCCAAAGTTGCAGGAGAAACTTGAACTCCATAGTACCAGGAGTGGCTTTAATCCATAGTACCACTAGTGACTTGAACTGCATAGTACTAGGAGAGGCGTGAACACCATAGAACCAGGAGTGGCTTGAACTTCATAGTACATTTGTATCAGGAGTGGCTTTAATCCATAGTACCACTAGTGACTTGAACTGCATAGTACCAGGTGAGGCGTGAACACCATAGAACCAGGAGTGGCTTGAACTTCATAGTACATTTGTATCAGGAGTGGCTTTAATCCATAGTACCACTAGTGACTTGAACTGCATAGTACCAGGTGAGGCGTGAACACCATAGAACCAGGAATGGCTTGAACTTCATAGTACCAGGAGTGGCTCTGATTTATAGTACCACTAGTGACTTGAACTGCATAGTACCAGGAGAGGTGTGAACCCCATCGAACCGGGAGTGGCTTGAACTTCATAGTACCAGGGGTAGCTTGAATTCCATAATATCACTCCTGGCCTGTAGCTTGAACTCCATAGTATAGATAGAGAACTATCTGTATTTTATATTGCTGTTTCTGATATTGATCCATATTATTTAAAAAACAGAGTTCAAGAAAATATGTTTTACTTTGTGAAAAATTTACTGAACTTTGCACATTTTTTGCCAATGCATAAAGTTAAACTGATTTGCATTGATGAAAGATGGACAGTATAATAAAAACTGTTTTTAAACCTGTCTTGCAGATTGGATATGCTAAGTGTTCCTTCACCAGGCTCTATGAACTTTGTAAAACATCTCATGACCAAGGATAAAAAACCACAAGGTAATGCAATGTAAAATAAATAAAATTAAAATAAGTGACATTGTATATTTTAATGGGTAAAATCCACTTTTTTCCAGTCTGTTACTAATGGAGGTTGCCATTTTGAATTCAGGAATTTATTCAATAATAAACAAAATAACAAGTCTCACTTGAAAATCTTCTTTTTATAAAATTTTATCACATACTTAAGTGGGTTTTTTTTTGGCCTATAAACACTCTGTAGCATCACCACCATCATATAGGTACCCTGGAAGCAGTAGAAAAAATGTACTCTTATGAAGAGATTTCTTTTAACAAAGAAGTAAATCTTTTGAAATAGATCCATTTAAGAACCAAATTCTGGCTATTTTGAAAATTTATTATAAAGTTGAAATTTAAGGCCATATTTGGCCTAAAGTGAACCTTGTCCTTTATAAAGAAGAATTTGATTTTGATAAGTGTCAGTTAATTTTGGATTTTCAAATAAGATTTGCATATTAATATGGATTAGGTAGAATATTGTTTTGAAGAGAAATAAGGTTGCCCTCTACAATTTCGATAACAAACATGGCAGATGTAAACAAACATTGTGAAAGTAAAGTTTTTCTCCTATTTCCTGCTTATACATGTAGTACTATATGATCCGCACCCCTGCCTGACATCTAATTTTGGAGTAAAAAACTGCAAAATATTCACAGCTGAATTGGGTAGATACTTTTTGCTATCATTGTTACTTTGCTCGGGGGTACCTATATCCGGTGATGATGCTACACAGTGATAAATGTCTTGTTTATTTTTGACACCAGAAGCGTTTTATATGACGTCATACTGTATAAATTTCAAAGACAAGATTAAATTTTGGCCGAAATTTTAGCTTAATGAGATTTTTAAACCTAAGTTGTGTTTTAGATTAAACATTCTTATATGACGTTCTTCTTTGGCTTTGGATACAAAGCCATGTTCTAATTCCAATAAAACATGGGCTGCACGTGATTGATGTCACAATTGAAATTGCAACGTCAGTAGAATTTTGAACAATGCCGGAGATCAAAATGGACATTTTTGTTGGTGTTGCTCGCTAGGAAATTAAATAAAATCATTCTAAAAGTAAGTTTAAATGTATCTGTTCATTTTTTATCGTTAAACTTTTGATTTTCTATATCATGTTTGATTCACCAAATCAAAATGGCTGCCTTTCGAGCGTGTATTATACATGTTATAGGTCCGCTTTGAAATACAAAATATCTAAATATCCCTATTAGAATCGAAATAATTCTATCATGCCATGCTCTATGCTCATTTTAACATGGGTAGGCACTATATTTGTCAACATTTAACACCTTGCTAATGCTCGGTATTAAAGGGGCACTAGATGTCAAATTCATGTTCACCGATTTGACTAAAATTCTCATATTTGATTTATAACAAACTAAATCGTATATTCAAATTACAATAAGTCTAAAATAAACAGTTAGCACTGCATGTACTCGATAATATTTATCAGAATTTCGTGTGTATTTTAGTCTAGGCGTCATTTAATTAAATTTAGAGATGACCACCGGAGACTGCTGATGGTTATATATCCCGATGTAAACTTAAACATAACTATAAATACATAACGACCTCGTGCAATTGGATTTTTCTAGGTCTGTTTGATTTCATGTTATAGGTTAAATAAAAAGTTACTTATCGTTTTTACCTGTATAAGACTGATTTTTTTGTGGATCGAATCAGTCAACGAAATGATTCACCTTTGTTTCACTTTCAATATTGACATTCTTTTCCTTTTAATGGCTGACCACGATTTATACATGTGTAACCAGTCTTTAGCTATTGGGTTAAATTGAAGGTCACATGAATATGGATTCAAAGAGGTCGAATTATTCACTTGCAAGTGAATAATTAATCAGCAATGTTTCTTTGCTTATTTTAACAAAATTGAACCAAATTGGTTGCCAAAAACGAATTATTATTTCATCAATTCACTTATATTAATGATTGAACCAAACAAAATCATATTCTAATTTTTTTCATTTCTAGTGCCCCTTTAAGATATTGACAAATATAATGCCTTCCCATGTTAAAAAAATTCGTAAGGGTTCCGCGGAACCCAGTGTCTCGCCTACTTTTGGTGTTAATCGCAGGCTCAACAAAAATGAAGAAAAAAATTAATAAAAATATTCCCCTCTATACTATGTTTTGATTGTAAGTAGCTTCTGTCCAAGTTTGGTAAAAATCCAGGATAAATTATGAATCTAATAAATGTTTTAAAAACTTAAACTGCAGAATGTATGTAATGTTGACTGGAAGAAAAACTAAGTCCATTTATAAGTAAAATACAGAAAAAATGGAACAAAATTTTATGAAAATTTCCTTCTAGATACTAGCTTTTGATCATAAACAAGCTTCTGTCCAAGTGTGGTACAAATCCAGGATAGTTTAAGAAAGTTGTTAAAATTTTAAAAACTTTAACCACAGAGTGAATGTAATGTTAACTGGCAGAAAAACTAAGTCCATTTATAAGTAAAATACAGAAAAATGGAATTTTTTTTTTACAAAATTTACTTCTGGATACTATCTTATGATCATAAACAAGCTTCTTTACAAGTTTGGTATAAATCCAGGATAGTTTAAGAAAGTTATTAAAATTTCAAAAACTTTAACCACAGAGTGAATGTAATGTTTCCTGGCAGAAAAACTAAGTCCATTTATAAGTAAAATACGGAAAAATGGAATTTTTTTTTTACAAAATTTACTTCTGGTAACTATCTTATGATCATAAACAAGCTTCTTTCCAAGTTTGGTAGAAATCTAGGATAGTTTAAGAAAGTTATTGAAATTTTAAAAACTTTAACCACAGAGTGAATGTAATGTTAACTGGCAGAAAAACTAAGTCCACTTATAAGTAAAATACGGAAAAAATGAAATTTTTTTTTTACAAAATTTACTTTTGAATATAATCTTATGATCATAAACAAGCTTCTGTCCAAGTTTGGTAGAAATCCAGGATAGTTTAAGAAAGTTATCAAAATTTCAAAAACTTTAACCACAGAGTGAATATTTGTGGACGTCGACGACGACGCCGACGGAATGTAGGATCGCTATGTCTCGCTTTTTCGACAAAAGTCGAAGGCTCGACAATGAGCATAGAGCATGGCATGAAAGAATTATTTCTTAATTAATCTAGGTACGTAATGGGTCACTAGGTAAATTTAAGTTGGGACAGTAAAACCTATGTAATACAATACAATTATTTCCATTCTAATGCAAAATTAGCAAACATTTAATTTTGACATTACTGTTGACTGATACAGGCTCTGTTATTGTATTTTCAAGTGAATCCAGAATTTGGCAAGCCAATAATCCAGTCAGTAACAGCAACAGACTTGTTAAAACAACATAAACAAATGATGAAACAGAAAAGACAAGGGGGAATAACTTCTGACCCACTGAAGTGTACTCCAACATTGGGAAGAGGATTTACCCCTGGAAAAGATGTATGCTTAGAATTCTCTTCACCAAAGTCAGATTTAGCAAGGGTAAGTACTGAGTTGTGCCCCTTTAAAAGTCATTTCTTTTGAAAGTCAATGTTGAATTTATTTCCCCCTAATTTTCAGTGGAAACAAGCTTTTTGTCGAGCCTTCGACTTTTGTCGAAAAAGCGTGACATAGCGATCCTACATTCCGTCGGCGGCGGCGGCGGCATCCACAAATATTCACTCTGTGGTTAAAGTTTTTGAGATTTTAATAACTTTCTTAAACTATCCTGGATTTCTTCCAAACTAGGACAGAAGCTTGTTTATGATCATAAGATAGTATCCAGAAGTAAATTTTGTATAAAAAAAATTCCATTTTTTCCGTAATTTACCTCTAAATGGACTTAGTTTTTCTGCCAGGAAACATTACATTCACTCTGTGGTTAAAGTTTTTAAAATTTTAATAACTTTCTTAAACTATCCTGGATTTCTACCAAACTAGGACAGAAGCTTGTTTATGATCATAAGATAGTATCCAGAAGTAAATTTTGTAAAAAAAAAATCCTATTTTTTCCGTATTTTACATATAAATGGACTTAGTTTTTCTGCCAGGAAACATTACATTAACTCTGTGGTAAAAGTTTTTAAAATTTTAATAACTTTCTTAAACTATCCTGGATTTGTACAGAAGCTTGTTTATGATCAAAAGCTAGTATCTAGAAGGAAATTTTGTTCCTGTTTTTCCGTATTCTACTTATAAATGGACTTTGTTTTTCTTCCAGTTAACATTACATACAGTCTGCAGTTAAAGTTTTTAAAACATTTATTAGATTCATAAACCATCCTGGATTTTTACCTTGGACAGAAGCTTCTTACAATCAAAAGATAGTATCGAGAGGAATATTTTTATTTTTTTTTTCCTCATTTTTGTTGAGCCTGCGATTAACAGCAAAAATAGGCGAGATACTGGGTTCCGCGGAACCCTTACGAATTTTTTCACTTCACTAATGAAACAAATTATATATTTTTTTCAAATAATTTATTCACTCACAAAAGATGAATTGGTTGGTGCCTAACTGCTACAGAAGTTTACAGAGAAATTTTCAATTCAATTCCATGTGATGTACACATAAATTACTTGAAGTTTATTCATATGAACATTTCTCATGTACAGGTAATTAAAACAGGTTTACATTAGGCCAAATAAAAGTATATGTGTGGTTCCAGTTACCCGACCGACCCTAGTTTAAACCCAGACCCTGGAACTTTTTAACTCACCTGGCCCAATTTCCATTGTCCGTTAACTTTTACAAAAATCTTCTCCTCTGAAACTACTGGGCCAAATTTAACCAAACTTGGCCACAATCATTATTAGGGTATCTAGTTTTAAAAATGTGTCCGATGACCCCACCTGCCAACAAACATGGCCGACATGGCTAAAAATAGAACATAGGGGAAAATGCAGTTTTTGGCTTATATCTCTGAAACTAAAGCATTTAGAGCAAATTTGACAAGGGTAAAAATGTTCATTAGGTTAAGATCTATCTGCCCTGAAATTTTCAGACGAATCAGACAACCTGTTGTTGGGTTGCTGCCCCTGAATTGGTAATTTTAAGAAAATTTTGCAGTTTTTGGTTATTATCTTGAATATTATTATAGATAGAGATAAACTGTAAACAGCAATAATGTTCAGCAAAGTAAGATCTACAAATAAGTCCAACATGACCAAAATTGTCAATTGACTGCTTTAGGAGTTATTGCCCTTAATAGTCAATTTTTAACTATTTTTCTTAAATTTTTGTAATTTTTTACAAAAATCTTCTCCTCTGAAACTATTGGGCCAAATTTAACCAAACTTGGCCACAATCATCATTAGGGTATCTTGTTTAAAAAATGTATCCAATGACCCTGTCATCCAAGCAACATGGCCACCATGGCTAAAAATAGAACATAGTTGTTTACTATAGAAGTCTACAGGAAAATTGTAAAAAATACAATTTCAAATGGTCACAACTTGAAAACTAATTTTAATAATGATAAGGGGTCTTCAGTAACTATTGTAAGAATACAATGGGATGACTTGATTTTTTTCCATGGGAGGGTGCAATTTTTTCAGGGGGGGGGATGGGGGGTGCTTATAATTTCTGCCTGATATTTTCCATTTTCAGAATTATTCAGTAACTTTTCTATAAACCATTATTATATCGCCTCTTTCAGCATACTTATAATGGGTGAATGCCCCCCTGCCCAAATTTTTTTTGAAGGTCATTCACAAAAAACATTTAAAGGCATTTCCAGCATTATACAGGCCCTGTGTGAAATAAATTTTGGAGAGGAGGGTATTCAATTGGTGTTTGTTCTGGAGACTTTCATGACAGCATCCTTTTGCAATTTTTGTTAATTATCTTGAATATCATTATAGATTGAGATAAAAATAATAATAATAATAATAAATTCTTTATTTAAAGAGGGTTAACACAGTTAGTTACAATTACTAATCTTCCCTGAGGCCCTCATATACAATACAAGTAAAAAAATAATAATAAGAGAAAAAAAGCAAACATACAACATATTAACACATAGTCAGTTCACAATCGTATAGTCATGATAGTTCAGTTTACATGTACCATTAGAACATATAAAACAGTTACAGAGTGCATGTAGTAAATAGATATTATATACAAATCAAAATCATACATTCTAAAAAAGTAATAGTTGCAATCATTTCAAGACTGAATATTGGGACTGCCTCAAGTATTGTTTTATAATTTGTTTAAAACAAAAAGTGTTTTGCACTTTACACATTTCATATTGTAGTCCGTTCCATAAAACTGATCCAGAATAAGCAAAAGATTTTTTAAACAGTTCAGTTTTTGGCTTAGGAACTATCAAATTACCTTGAGTAACACCCCTTAAAGCATAAGGATTATTAACAGATATAAGTTTAAACTTTTGAAATAGGTACTGTGGTGCTTCTTTCCGCATACATTTATATGCAGTAAATATTTGTGGTATTTGATTCTATTTTCTACTGTCATCCATCCAAGTTCTTTAAATAAGGGGGCGATGGGGATATACTGTAAATAGCAAAAATATCAAGCAAAGAAAGATCTACAATTGAGTCAACATGACCAAAATCTTCAATTGACATCTTCTTGGAGTTATTGTCCTTTAAAGTCATTTTCTGCAATTTATTGGTAATTTTTGTAAACTTTTTTTCAAAAATCTTCTGCTTTTAATTTATCTACTGGGCCAAATTAAACCAAACTTTGCCTCAATCATTATTAGGGTATCTAATACTATTTATTATGATTTTAACCTAATTTTACATGATTTCCAAAACCACAGTAGATACAGGTGAGCGACACAGGCTCTTGAGAGCCTCTAGTTTTCCATTTCTGAAAAATAATTTTCGAACAATCCCATTTTGTGGAATGTGAATTTCGATAATTAAATTCACTGACATCTGTCATCTGAATTTCCATTAGAAGTATCCACAATGGCTAAAATGCAACAAATTCTTAACAGAATGCAACAAAATTAACTAGAAATATATCTGTTTATTTTACAACCAAACGTATAGAAAATGGCAAACTTCCGGTAGGGCTGTGTATAATACTGGAATCCTACTCAGTGAACACAAGATTTTTTTTCTGGATTTCGACAATCCCAAAAAAAAATATTTAAAAAAAAAAATAGATTGCTGACCTACCGTTCCTATTTTTTTCCAGGATGTAACTGGAACCACACATATTCTTTTATTTGGCCTTACACAACGTTTGGTATGAACAGGGCATAAGACTCAACTTAAAACTTGATTTAGTAATTTCAGTTTTTGTTGTCCTCAGTTATGCCTCTTTGCATAGTTATAATAGAATAAATTTCAGGTTCTTTTCAGTGATAGTATTCAATGTGTGAGTGGTATTTTAATGGGTGTTTAATTTTAACTCCTTTTCATAATGTATCTAGGAAAACAGAAATTATATTATGCATTATGCATTATATCTATATATATATTTTTCCAGAGGAAATGTGAGCTTTTGCCATCACTTGGCGTCTGTCGTCGTCCGTTCAGTGTAAACTATTTCAAACATCTTCTCCTCGGAAACTACTGAACCAATTCCAACCAAATTTAAGCTGAATGTTTCGTAGGGTATCTAGAATAAAGTTTGTGTTTTGTTTTCTGTTTTGTCAAAAAAACATGGCCGCCATAGCTAAAAATAGAACATAGGGGTAAAATGCAGTTTTTGGCTTATATCTCAAAAACTAAAGCATTTAGAGCAAATCTGTCTGGTGTTAAAATGTTCATTAGGTCAAGTTCTATCAGCCCTGAAATTTTCAGATGAATCTAACAATCCATTGTTGGGTTGCTGCCACTAAATTGGTAATTTTAAGGAAATTTTGCAGTTTTTAGCTCACCTGGGCCAAGTGAGCTTTTCTCATCACTTGGCGTCCGTCTTCCGTCGTCGTTAACTTTTACAAAAATCTTCTCCTCTGAAACTACTGGCCAAATTTAACCAAACTTGGCCACAATCATCATTAGGGTATCTTGTTTAAAAAATGTGTCCGATGACCCCGCCTGCCAACCAACATGGCCGACATGGCTAAAAATAGAACATAGGGGTAAAATGCAGTTTTTGGCTTATATCTCTGAAACTAAAGCATTTAGAGCGAATCTGATACGGGGTAAAAATGTCTATTAGGTTAAGATCTATCTGCCCTAAAATTTTCAGACGAATCAGACAACCTGTTGTTGGGTCGCTGCCCCTGAATTGGTAATTTTAAGAAAATTTTGCAGTTTTTGGTTATTATCTTGAATATGATTATAGATAGAGATAAACTGTAAACAGCAATAATGTTCAGCAAAGTAAGATCTACAAATAAGTCCACATGACCAAAATTGTCAATTGACCGCTTTAGGAGTTCTTGCCCTTTATAGTCAATTTTTAACTATTTTTCTTAAATTTTTGTAATTTTTTACAAAAATCTTCTCCTCTGAAACTGTTGGGCCAAATTTAACCAAACTTGGCCACAATCATCATTAGGGTATCTTGTTTAAAAAAT